ACAATTGGACTTCCCAACAATAATTCAGGTGATAATTACATCCTTGTTCCATCGCTATTGTTAATCATATTGCAGTCGACAATAATCAAAAAAAAAAAAAAAAAGCTCATACATGTAAGTTTTTCTTTTCTTTATAGAATTTTCTAAGTGGGTACCAATCTATTTTTCTCTTTACGCTTATATCATCTAACAAATTAGATAATGTGTCTAACTCCATAAGATCCCTTATTTTAAGTAACCAATCGTCCAATGATGGCAGTTCTTTCAGTTTCCATTTGGTCGCTAATACTATTCGTGCTGCAGCTGAGAGATGAAATAGTAAACTCTCGTTATTTTTCCCCATTTCAAAATCCAGCAGGTGTAAAAGATAATAATCTGCTTTCATTTCAAACTTTATCTGCAGGATCAACTGCACATTTCGATGGACCTCCTTCCAAAATTCTTTTACTTTTTTGCAATCCCACCAACAGTGTACAAATGTACCCACTTTTTTACCACATTTCCAACATAAGTTACTACCACCGTTGCGGAATTTTGCTACCCTTACTGGTGTTAGGTACCATCGTGTATACATCTTATACCAGTTTTCTTTAATATATACAGACTTTGTAAGCTTTATTTTTTGTGTCCAAATTATTTCCCAGTCCCGCAACAAAATAGTGTGTTTCACGTCCAATGCCCATGCGATCATATTTTCTTTAATACGTTCCTTTTCCGTCCTCCACTCCAACAGTTTTTGGTAGAGAGTTTTTATCACCTTCCTCTCCTTCTCCATAACTCTATCCCAAAAGGAGTCTGTTGTTGCAAAACCTACTCTATTGTCCTCCTTAAAGCTGTCCCTAACCTGATAATAATGGAACCAGGAAAAATTGGCATCCAGGGATTTCATTTCCTCTCTTGACTTCATTCTATACTGGTTTTGTTCCTTTTTCAATAGTACTTTATATGTATACCAACTATTGCTAGGTATTTCCCTTTTATGAAATGCCTCCATAGGGGAAAACCACAGCGGCGTTTTAGTGTAAAACATTGTTTTATACCTTTCCCACACCTTCAGGAGCGCGGCTCTGATGATATGACTGGTAAAACTCCTTTCTATTTTGGCCTTTCCATGCCATAAATAGGCATGCCAGCCTCTCCTTAGCTCCGCACCTTCTAGGTTTAGGAGTTTTTTCCTTTTAAGGGTTGCCCACTCCCTAACCCATACCAATGCGGCGGCCTCAAAATATAACTGGAAATCCGGTAGAGTCAGGCCGCCCCTCTCCCTTGCATCAATCTGCGTCGAATATTTAATCCTGCTCTTTTTTCCCTGCCACATAAATTGCTGCAGTTCTCTTTTCCATCTTATAAAGTAATGACTGGTTCTAAGTATCGGTAACATCTGGAACATGTAGATCAGCTTCGGTAAAATCTTCATCTTTATTAGAGCGACCCTCCCCAGTATACTTAACTTGAGCTGCTTCCATTTTTGCAATTTCCTAGAGATTTCTTTCCAGGTCAATTCATAATTATTCTTGACTAACTGTATATTACTATTTGTTAAAGTAATCCCTAGATATTTCACTTTACTGGATAAAGTAAAATGTATAATCTTCTCTAGTTGTGATAGCTTAGCTTTGCTAATATTCTTTGTTAAAAGCTTGGTCTTTTGCTGGTTTATTTTTAATCCTGCAACTTTTCCATACTCCTGTATCTTTCTTATCCATTTAACAATATTCTCTGTTGGGTTAGATATTATACATACAATATCATCAGCATACGCCTTTATTTTAAACTCATCATTCCTGATTTTGACACCCGTCAGGTCTTTCTCRTTCCTTATATCATCTAAAAGAATTTCCAAAGTCCAAATAAATAGGAGAGGGGAGAGGGGACAGCCCTGTCTAGTACCTCTTTCGATTTTAATATTATCCGACAAATGGCCGTTCACTCTTATTCTAGCTCTTTGATTAGTATATATGGCCTTTAGTATGTTATWGAATTGATAGCCCATATCCTTTTCAGTGGCCAAGTGCGTCATAAGATCCCAGTTTACTCGATCGAAGGCCTTCTCAGCGTCTAAAAATAGGAGGCCAAGTTCTTTTTGGTGATTGAATTCATGAAACTCTATGATGTCTATGATAGTTCTTAAGTTTTCGCTCATTTGTCTTCTGGGGAGAAATCCATTTTGATCTTCTTTGATTACCTCGTTAAGATAGGTTTTAAATCTATTGGCCATTATATGTGTAAATATTTTATAGTCGATATTCAACAAGGCAATTGGCCTATAATTCTTAACATTATCCTCCTCCGTGCCAGCTTTATGTAGTAGGGAAATAGTCGTCTCTTTCCATGAGTCCGGAATTCTAGCCTCATTTAGTATATTATTGAATATTATCCTCAAATATGGTAACAAATCTTCTCTAAATAACTTGTAATAAAGGGCTGTTATTCCATCCGGACCCGGAGACTTATCCGTTGGAAGGTTATCAATTGCTTTGGTTATCTCATAGTCCTGTATCTGTTTATTTAGTAATTCCCTTTGTTGTTCTGTGAGTTTCTCAGGACTATGTTTTTCCAAATATTTAACTATTGCCTCTTCCTTAATATTTTCCTTCTTATATAATTCCCTATAAAACTCACTGAATTGTCTTCTTATTCCTTCCTCGTCTGTATAATGAATTCCTTCCTTGCTTATCTTCATAATGTGTTGGGTTTGTCTTTTTTCCCTGAGATGTTTAGCTAGTAATTTACCCGGCTTATTAGCTTGTGCAAAGTATCTGGCTTTCATATATTTTATCTTCTTCGCTATATATTCCAATTGGTAAGAATCCCTTTGCTTCCTTAACATCTCTAGTTCTATCTTAATTTTCTTTTTTCCCGGTTTCCTTTTGAGTAATCTCTCTTTTTCCTCAATACTCTTCAGCAAGTTTGTAAGTTCTTCCGATCTTTTTCTGTTACGGATTATACCTTGCTGGATTAGGTGACCTCTTATTACCGCTTTCCCGGCATCCCATACCACCTCATCATTTACTCCCTTATTGGAATTCAACTCAAAGAATTCCTTGATTTTTCCCCTGCATAACTCAATGTCTTCTGCTTTTTTTAATAAGAATTCATTTAGTCTCCAATTCCTCTGGGGTTTGTCTCCATCCACTATCAACATCAGGGGACAGTGATCCGAATTGCCCCTGGGTAGTATTTTAATCTTTTCTATTTTAGTTATTAGTGTTTTAGACGCCCAGACCATATCAATTCTGGACCAGGTGGAATGGCGGGCTGAATAAAAGGTATAGTCCCTATCTGTAGGATTTTTGACCCTCCAAGCGTCATATAGCTGCCACTCTTTCTTTAAATTTAGAAAGCTTTCCGGGAGTCTCCCGCAGTTTCCTCTTAACCTTCTTTTTTCTGTTTTATCAGTCTTACARTCCAACACCCCATTAAAGTCTCCTAAAAGAATCAGATTATCAAATGTTTGATCCTTCAGTTTCTTTCTGAGTAWGTTTATAAAATTCGTTTTAGGGCCCGTAGGGGTATATATATTACAAATTAGCMAGACTTGATTCTCAACTTTAATCTTGACACCGACCATTCTCCCCTCATTRTCCTTAAATGCCAGAGAGGCCTTATGCATATCTTTGACATATATTGTCACCCCCCTTTTTTTCTTTGTAGCTAAAGAAGAAAATTCTTGTCCTATTTGCGGCTGTACCAGATATGAATTGTGCTTAGAGATAATGTGGGTTTCTTGTAAYGCAATAATGTCATAATTGCTTTTTTTTAGGGTGTTAAATATGAGTTTCCTTTTATTTGGTGAATTCATCCCGTTCACGTTATTCGAATATATTGATAAGCTCTTCATCTTGGTTTAATTGGTTATTTTCTCCCAAAGGTCCCACTCCTTTATCTCCCTCTTCTTCTTCCAGAGAATCCGGTCTTGCTCTCTTCTTGTCCTTCCTGCTCCACTCTTTTTTCTTTCCTTTCTCAGCTTTCGGGGTTTTCGTATCTTTACTTATTTCCTTCTTTTCTTCCTGTTTTGATTCTTTCTCTAAATCCTTCATCAATTCCTTATAGAATTTTTTAGCTTTTTCCTCTGAAGTGAGCCATTGTCTATTTTCTTTATATGTGATTTGTATCCCTTCTGTACGTTCCCAACGGAATTTAATTTTATGTTTTTTGAGTTCATCTGTTAAAAAATAGTACTTTTTCCTATTATACATTGAGGATGGAGAAAATTCCTTGAGTATGATCACTTTTTTCCCTTTATAGAATATTTGTTCTTTAGATTTCATTTTTATWACCTCTTCTCTCACACATTTCCTAGTAAAGCTGACCACGATGTCCCTCGGCACGTTATTTCTTTTAGCGTAATTCGAATTTACTCTCCTGACTGTATCTATTTCTCTATTGACCTCCTCAATGGATAATTTCAAGATATCTGCTGTTATCTCCGTTATTATACTTCTTAAATTGTCTCCTTCCTTTTCTTCTAAGTTCCTATATCTTAATTGAAATTCCGTTTCGAAACTCTTCATTGATTCTTGTTGCCTCTCAGATTTATCACTCTTCTCCTCCAGACTTTTCATTCTGTCTTCATTTTTTTCCTGAGCCTTCTTCAGCTGGGCATTCTCTTTTTTAAGCTCAGTAATTTCTTTCTGCGCACCTTCCAAATCTTTCTTCATCCCGTCCAGGTCTTCTCTTATTTCCTGCCTTAGTTTTCCCAGTTCCTTTTGGAATAATTTTTCCATATTGATTTGAGATTTTGCCTGGTTGTCTTCAATTTTTTTCTCAATATTTTCTTGTATTTTCCACATCTCAGCCATTATATCTTTTAATGAAACTTCCCCTTGCATGGAGTGGCGTCTAGCTGGTATAGGTGTGGATATTGAGGTTACTCCTTGAGGTGATTGCGAAGGTGCTGTCCCTTGCTGAATACTCATGATTTTATTTTGTTTCGTTACTGTTAGAAATTTCTCCAGCTTGCCCTCTGCCATACTGTAAGGTTATCTCTATTATTCTATTATGGAGCTGTTAGAAAAGAAGCTTCTCTTACCCGTTCTTCTCATAGTCGTCCTGTTATTCAGGCTATTGTCTTACTTTCTCCTTTCTTAGGTTTAGCCCTTCTCTGCTTGCCATCCCTTCTATCAGAGGCTATACCGGACACCTTAAGCTATTATTTGTTATTTATTTATTCCTCCGGGTTCCTCCGGGTTTTAGAGCCTCCTATTCTCCCTAAGCGCGTCCTCTTGTTCCGCGTCACTGGCGTCACTGGCGTCCCTCCTTCCTTCCGTTTGCGTCTGACGTCCTCGCGCCTCCGCGTCGCCGCGCCGCCGCGCCGCCTCTCCGCCTCTCCTCCCCCGGCGGCCCCACCACGTCTGGGCACACCTGGGCCTCTCCTCTCAGTCTCCCTCCAATCAACTCTTCTTAAAGGTACCGGTTTTCTTTGTTTTCTGAAGAAGGAGGCAGGGAGGGGGGGTTCGAGGGGTTTGAGGGGAGTTGTCTTCTGTTGTCCTCTATTTTTAGGCCTCTTTTCCGTCAAGGGTCTTATTTTAAAAAATTAGATGAGAGTCTCTTTCTTCCCTCCACCACTTAGCTGCTTATTTTATACTTTCCTCTTTCCTCTTGTACTATTCCTTGGTCTCGTTTATTGGCACTGCATTCATATCCCCTTACCTTGTTGCTTTCTTATATTCCGTCTGCTTTTTAACCTCAGTATATTTATCCATTCGGCGAAAATGAAGGCTGGCGGCAATGTCGACCCTTTGGTCGCGCGACTCTCGGGGCGCTGCCCTCCGTTCTGCCAAGCAGGAGTTTAGCCGTCTCCCTTGAGGGGGGACCGCACCTCCGCCCCCGCAGAGCTCGGAAAGCTTCGCAAACAAGCTGTCCTCTTTCCAACGGCTTGTGGGGTCTCTTGGAGCCCCTTCCCCTTATGAGAGGTGCAAGAGGTCTCAGCTACCGAACGGAGCTTCACCGCCTCGCTCCTGCCGCCATTCCGCCTCCACCGGAAGTCCAAAAATAGACAAGAAATAAATAAAAATGCTATTTATTTCTTGTCTATTTGTGTCCCAAGCTCAGTTCTGTCAAATAAAAAGACAGAAATATTTCTCAGGAGCAATTAAACAGTATAAAGGAGATAGTGAGGGAGAACCTCAATATTGCTTGCTCTATGCACACATTTCCTCTGGATCATAGGGGTTTTCAAATATCTTCTGGTCAATATGGTTGTTGGCATTGTCTGAGTCACGATGTGGTAAATGCTTTCCTCCTTTCTTAAACTACAACTGCTTTCCCATGCTGGGTAGGGAATTATGGTGAATGCAGGAGATTGCCAAAGACTACTTAAATTTTGTAGACATTACATATTGCATTTTTTAACTCCCGATTTCTATTCAGGGCAAAATGTGATTTTTGGACCATAGACATGCCCCGGGCTCTTTTTGTGGCCCTAAATTCCCTCTGACTTTCTTTATAGGAGAAACGGTTTCAAATAACTTGCAAGGGCTTTAAGACTCAAAGTACACATTTTTCAAAACCAGCAGTGAATGTCTAGATCAGGGGTCCTCAAACTTTTTTAAACAGAGGGCCATGTCACAGTCTCTCAAACTGTTGGAAGGCCGGACTATAATTTGAAAAAAAACATGAATGAATTCCTATGCACACTGCACATATATGTAGTGCAAAAAACTTTAAAACAATACAATAATTAAAATGAAGAACAATTTTAACAAATATAAATTTACTAGTATTTCAGTGAGAAGTGTAGGCCTGCTTTTGGCTGATGAGATAGGATTATTGTTGTTGTGTGCTTTCAAGTAGTTTCAGACTTAGGTTGACCTTGAGCGAGGGCCGGGTAAATGACCTTGGAGAGCCATATCCGGCCCCCGGGTCTTTGTTTGAGGACCCCTGGTCGAGATCATCTCAAGTGTGTTTCCTGTGGTCCAAGCGTCATTCCAAGGGTTTCCCTGTTTTTGACATTTCTGATGCAGCACCCAGAGAATCCTGGGCAGAAAAATGTCCACTCAACCTACTAAAATTGCCCATTGTTAGTCCCCAGCATTTATTCTACAATGAGTGGACAACACATAGCCTTGTAATTGGTGTTGAACCATTAGCCCAAGCCAGCATAAGTAGTAATGAAGGATTGTAGAAGTTGCAGGCTGACATCTGCAGAGCTTCCCAACTCTGCCTTTGTAATTTGGGTTGAATTCCTAAATACCTTTCTTGTTCACTTTTAGGTATCTTCAAACATACGCACTCCATTTCAAAAGTTCTCATCTCTGACTTGGTTTTTGAGAAGCAGCGCCTCTTAGTAATAGGACATTTCAATGCAGCCGCCAATTTTGGCTTCATTTTGGGACCTCCTGTTGGAGGCTACCTTACAGAGCTAGAGGGTGGTTTTCACTTGACAGCGTTTGTCTGTGCCTCCATCTTCATCTTGAATGCTGGTATGTATGTGTTGCTCTGTCAAATTTTTAAAGCTATTTATTCATTATATTCACAGGGTTTTTATTATTTATATGCAAACTATGTACATCATTTCTATACACTTACCCTAGACCAAGGCCATCTAAGAGAACAATCCCTGTCCCAAATGTTTATGCATCTTGTATCTTTATATCATGGGGAAAAATTAATGAAACCATACACATGATAACTGCTGAAGTGTTAATTGAAGGACTCTTAATTCAGGAAGGAAAAAAATAAGAGGCATTTGTTCTGCTGCTGATAGACAATTAGAAATGAGTAAATCTGGTAATCTCTATAAATCATGCAAGTGTCTACTGATAGATCTGGATCTACCTGTACTTAGCCTCACCTCACTAGGGATTGCAATTTTGGATTACCTCCACTTAGTTTTCTCTCATTCCTCACTGCAGCCACATCCTGTTTTCTTTATTTTGGTTCATAAATTATGACTTTGATTTCTTGCATTGCATATAAACTGGGAGTTGGTGTGATGCTGTCATTGTGCCTTCTTGTGTGAAAATGGGTCTTCCTCTCTTTAAACAGGCATAGTTCAATTCCACTTAGGCAGAAAAAAAAATGAAATGCAAAGATACAGAATGGGGGACTCCTGGCTCGAGAGCAGTACATGTGAAAAAAATCTTGGAGTCCTCATGGACAACGAGTTAAGCATGAGCCAACAATGTGATGCGGCAGCTAAAAAAGCCAATGGGATTTTGGTCTACATAAATAGGAGTCTAGTGTCTAGGTCCAGTGAACTCATGCTACCCCTCTATTCTGCCTTGGTCAGACCACACCTGGAATCACACTGTATCCAGTTCTGGGCACTGCAGTTGAAGGGAGTTGTTGACAAACTGAAATGTGTCCAGAGGGGTGGTGACTAAAGTGATCAAAGGTCTGGAGAACAAGCCCTATGAGGAGTGGCTTAAAGAGCTGGGCATATTTAGACTTCAGAAGAGACAGCTGAGAGGAGACATGATGGCCATGTATAAATATGTGAGGGGAAGTCATAGGGAGGAGGGAGCAAGTTTGTTTTCTGCTGCCCTGGAGACTAGGACGCAGAACAATGGCTTCAAATAACAGGAAAGGCAATTCCACCTGAACAGTAGAAAGAACTTCCTGATTGTGGAAGCTGTTCAGCAGTGGAACTCTCTGTCCAGAGTGTGGTGGAGGCTCCTTCTTTGGAGACTTTTAAACAGAGGCTGGATGGCCATCTGTCAGGGGTGGATTTTTTTCAACCTGTTCAGCCTGTTGACCTGGACAAGATTCTTGGAGTGGTGAGAGCAACCACCTGTGCCCTGGACGCTTGCCCTTCCTGGCTGGTCAAACTTGCCAGTGGGGGTTTGGCCGAGTGGATCTCAAAGATCATAAATGCCTCATTGGAACAGGGTCATATTCCATCGAGCCTGAAAAGTGCAATTGTGAGACCGTTGCTTAAAAAGGCATCCCTAGATTCCTCGGTCCTAAATAACTACCAGCCTATCTCTAACCTCCCCTTCCTGGGCAAGGTTCTAGAGCAGGTGGTTGCCTCCCAACTCCAGGGATTTTTGGACGAGGTTCCATTCTATCCCCCATGCTTTTTAATATCTACATGAAACCACTGGGTGAGGTCATCTGGAATTTTGGAGTTGGGTGCCATCTGTATGCAGATGACACCCAACTCTACTACTGTTTTCCACCAAATTCCAAGGAAGTCTCCCAAACCCTGAACCAGTGTCTGACTGCTGTGATGGACTGGCTGCAGGCTAACAGGTTGAAGCTTAATCCAGACAAGACAGAGGTCCTCCTGGTCAGTCGTGGGGCCAACCAGGGTATTGGGCGGTAACCTGTGCTCGATGGGGTTACACTCCCCCTGAGGGCGCAGGTCCGTAGCTTGGGGGTCCTTCTGGACTCAACGCTGTCACTTGATGCTCAGGTGCCGGTAGTAGCCAGGAGGGCCTTTGCACAGCTCAAACTCGTGTGCCACCTGCGACCATACCTCATGAAGTCTGACTTGGTCAGCATGGTCCACGCCTTGGTTACATCCAGATTGGACTATTGCAATGCGCTCTACGTGGGGCTGCCCTTGAAGACAGCCCAGAAGCTCCAACTGGTACAACGGGCGGCAGCCAGGCTCCTTACTGGAGCAAACTATAGGGAACATACAATGCCCCTTTTAAAACAGCTTCACTGGCTGCCAATAAGCTTCTGAGCCAAATTCAAGGTGCAGGTTATGACCTATAAAGCCCTAAACGGTTCGGACCCTACCTATCTTTGCGATCGCATCTCCTTCTATGAACCAGCGCGGACTTTAAGATCTTCCAGGGAGGCCCTCCTTTCGCTCCCACACGCATGGCTGGTGGGGATGAGAGAGAGGGCCTTCTCAGTGATGGCCCCCCGCCTCTGGAACGTCCTTCCTAGAGAAATAAGATAGGCCCCATCCCTCCTCTTTTGTAAGAGCTTGAAGACCGAGTGGTTTTAACAAACCTTTGAGAACCACTAGTTCTAGTTTAACCCCAGATACTGTTGAAATTGGCCATATCTTTTTCTACCAATTACCTAGGTTACTTTCTTCTATTAGGCCCTGAAAATGTACAGCCATAGACTCTACCTAATTTCCGGGACCTCTAAAATTGCACTAGCCCCAGCCCAGCCTTTTAAATTGCCTTTAACAGGCAGGATTATTTTAAATATATATGTGCTATTGTGGTTTTTAATGCTTCTATTGTCTTGTTAATTTTATGTTTATGCTGTTTTCCTTGTATGTATTGATTATGTTATTTGAAAACCGCTCTGAGTCCCCTTGGGGAGACAGAGCGGTATATAAATAAAGTTTTTTGTTGTTGTTGGGTACTTCAAATGCGATTTTCCTGCTTCTTGGCAGGGGATTGCACTGGATGATCCACAAGGTCTCTTCCAACTCTATGATTCTACGATTCTATGAATTCAAAGCACCAGCTTTGCATTAATTCTCTTTTATATATACCTGTATATGTGAGACTGGTGTTTTTTTCCAGGATACTTCATTACTTCCAGAAAATAATTCAGAACTCTATGATTGTCACTCCATTTTCTTTGCAGGAGTTTTCTGGATCGTGCTGCAACATGAAAGAAAGACCCATGGAAATGAATGGGTCACTATCAATAAGAAAAAAGACATGCTCTCAACAGAGATTAAAAACAGTCTACATCTCCAGTCGTTATCTCATGATGCTGCGAAGTACAGCCCTCCAACTGAATCCTCTTGGACTCAAGTTATATCTGTGCTCAAGAGGCTTGACAGCATTGCAAGGTCTGATCTGTGGGACCTTTTTCTGGTACGGCTGCTGATGTCTGTTGCAGTGATGCTGTACCACAGCAATTTTGTCTTGGCACTTGAAGAGAGGTTTGAGTTGAAACCTAAACTGACTGGCTACTTTATAAGCTACAGCAGTACACTTGGAGTCGCTGCTGGCTTTCTGCTTGGACCAATCACAAGACTGTATCAGCACAATACCTATGCCATCCTGCTGCGGTCCACTGTTCTCACTTGTGTGCTCCTGATGCTATATTCGTTGTTAGAAAGTGTATGGGCTGTTGTCATATCTTCCACATTTTTAGCTTTTTCAACCACTGTAGGCCGCACTTGCATTACTGACCTTGAACTGACCCTGGGGGGTAATGAGGCCAGTGGTCTGCTTATAGGCATTGGTCAGTCTGTGTCAGCCGTGGGACGAATAGTTTCCCCTCTCATCTCAGGAATTGCCCAGGAATTCAGTCCATGTGGGCCTCCTCTTCTTGGAGGTCTGCTGGGATTTGTAGCTGTACTCATCATGATCATGAATAAATCGCGATATTCTGGCACCAGGAGCACAAAACTGAAAAGCACGTAGTGAACTACATTGCATTTCATGCAAACAAAATAAAAACAACAGTGAAATCAAGATGTTTTATCAAAGAATGTAGGGGTTCAAAAAGACTGTGCTGCAATTTCAGAAACATTGCAGAAACAAGGAAGAAGCTGAATGCATCTCTTGCATTTTTCCCCTGACCTGCCAACTCAACAAGGGTGATCTGAAATGACCAGAAAGATACATTAAATCACTAAGGATTTCCCAGCTGTAATTCAAAGGGAAAGTTGTCACATCTAAGGTCTGGAAAATCCTTTTAAAAATACTGTAAGACACAGCATTTTCCGATTCCAAAATTATACTTGCTACTTTAAATGGTACAATGTGGTTAAAGGGTGCCATTATCATTGTCTGTGGTAATCAGTTTGATCTTAAAATGTAGGGCATTCTTCCATGAAGAAGGAGCCCATTGTGTTGCTGTCCTACAGCAATTCCAAGAGTGGGCCAAGTGTTGGTACTTTTATGCCACTTATCACTCTTGGCTTAGAATAAGGGTAAATGTATTGAAAGATAGATGGCGTCATCTGGTTATGTGCTTTAGACGCTACTAATTCTCAGGATCCAGCTGAACTGGAATCTGCAAAGCCAAGAAAGATAAATCATAGGAGAATGCTAGTTTCAGAGCACCATCTCACCTTTCCATGTTACTCCTCTATGGAATCTTGGGCAAGATGTACTTTTTTTACTCTGTCTCTGTATTCTCAAGTCTCCCTTATGTTTGTAACACTGGAGGACTAGGTTGCTGTGAGGTTTTTTGGGGGGATTTATGGCCATGTTCCAGTACATGCCCAAAAAACCAAGCAACCTAGTGATTCCAGCCATTCCAGCCTTCGACAACACCGGAGGACTGCCTTCAGCACCAGGGGAAGACTGTGGGCTTGTAGCATGCCACAAAATATGCATCTTTTGATGGATCAGGAATTCTACAGGCCTGCTTTAAGTAAATAACTAAATAGAAAAGACCAATCTGCAAAGAGAATGTGTTACAGTCGCCAAATAAAGTCCTAACAAGGCAAAAATGGGTGATTTAAGGAATCTGTAACCTCTCTGTACTTAAGGACCAATTCTAAGCACATTTCTTCAGAACAGGTTTCCTTGGAACAAATCTTGAGGCTTAGTTACATATTACACCAGTGAGTAACTGAATTCTAAGAAGAGTAGGGTAGGGGATGTTAATATTTTCTTTACTCACTGCTCCAAACTAATATCACTTCTCCTCTTCCTCAACACCTCGTGCTATTTTAGTTGTACTTGAGGTTGAGAACCCCACCAGAAAGCAGGAAGGGAAAGTTGTAACTTGGTTTGAAATGTGGCACATGTATGCACTTTTAACTATTTGGTCAGTTTTACTCTTCCAAATAGTCAAGTTCAGGGTATAGAGCAGGTGTATTCTGACTTCCATTTGCTCAGAAATATGTTGTGCATGGGAAAGGGATGCATACAGTGGCAAGCTTTGAAACCAAACCAGCATTTACCTGTTAACAAGTCCAATCTATATCCTCTGGGGACTGCATTTATTTTGAAACTTGACATAACATTTAATTAGGTCATTTAAATTATGTAGATAAATAAAGATCGTGAAAGTATTGTGGTATTCCTGGGAAAAGGCAGGCTATAAAAATATGGCCTCAGAAATGTCTTGTTTAAGACAATTTTGCAGTACTGTACTTGTTTAAAGCAAGCAGAATGCTTATGTACAATGTTACTGTTCTCAAGATTGCACTATAAAGTTGATAAAGGGAAATAAAAGGAAAATTATTACTTTTCTGCTTGGTTTCATAATTGTCACTTGCTTAATTGTTGTTCCAGTGAGAGTACATACACAGTAGGCACATGGTATTCCAAAACTGAACAGGTTGTTTACACTTTTAAAATATAAAATATATAAAGTACAAATAAGCAAGGGACCATTGTAGTATCTTGCATGAATACTTAATTTATCACTAGATGGCAATGTCGAGCTGGATCTTTAGTAGACTGGACAAGGTGTGAGTTGGATGTATCATAAAATATACATCTCTGCAATTTTCTTCTTGTGGGCTTATTCTCTACAATTCTCAAGCCATTTCCCACAGGTTCTTTTGGTCAATAAGCAGTTTATGACACACCACCAAGGTTGGTTCTGCATTATCCACAGTTTTGAAGAACAGAATATGGGATGTACTTACATGACATGACAAACTAGGAAGCCAGATAAATTGTGGCTTGTCATGGAGGAATGACACAAGAGTGTCTGCCTTAGGGCCTACAAAGACAAGATTCACATATATATATATATATACATGAATTGAGAATAAAAACAAAGATATTTCAAACTATCCATTTTAACAGATTTGCACATTTAGAATGATCTGTCAGTCCCTAATGGTACATTGAAGCAAAACGGTGCCAAATACAATTATACCTAGAGGTTATGAAAACCTTAATACAGCACTGGCTGGCACAGAAATTATTGATGTTTTTAACAATGACTCATATCTTTAAATTTTACATTTACCTGGTGTTGCAGAAACACACAAAGCTAATTTCAGATGCTTCAACTGTGAGAGTCTATAATGTCAATCTGCCCTGAATTCAGGAGTTGTTCCAGGTTTGAAAGAACTACCTGCATTGCTTCTCCACTTCTGCCTTCTTTTGGTTTGTGGACCTACTGGAGAAGCAGAGTCATGGTCATATTGAAAGTTGGAATGCATCTCTGCTCAGAAACACTGGGTAACAACCACTGTAATAACCCACTGTCCTTCAGGGATCTATCATATCACTGACTTAAGTTCTCAGAAGTACCCCTTCCTCTTAGTCTTTTGCAATGTAAAGAAACCATTTCTAAAAGACTTCTGGCTCTTGTAATCTGATTTCGGGATGATTGGAAAGAAGAGGTAGCCCCAGGTCCATTGCATTTAACAATTTTGCCAGCAGAGGTCCAGCACTGCATTCTGTCCATAGTAGAATATTGCACTGGTGCTCATTAAATGCTCATTAAATCACTTGGAAAAGGGAGCCTTTGGGATATCTTTTGGCCTTTGGTATCTGCCAAAAAAGGCTGCTTGTTGGTCTCAAGAGAAGAATTAAGGAAAAGCAGGGTACTAGTGCCCCTCTTATCAGGTTATACAGAAAACCAAGAAAAACAGCAGCCGTGAATATGGCTGGTTTTCATAAAATATAAAGAGACTCGGGAGTGGTAAGCTACACAGATTCCTGCTAATACATAGAGAGTAATGTCTGCTTTCTCAAATTATGCTGGTTACATAATTCCTGAATGTAAGCACATAAACTGATATAGCATACATACTTCCCATGGATGGTGTGAGCCACATTTGTGGTGCCAGAACTTAGTGTATGAATTACTATTAGTACAAACTCTGTTTACCACTACCAGCCATCTCTAGCAGTGCAGTGAACCACACAATGTATTCATTGACATTTTACAGATCAAAACATACACACGTAGCCAAGCAACATCAAAGTGTGATCAAGCTGGCAAAAGTTATTAACAAGGACAGCTGGACATTAGAATGTAGTAAGTCATGCTGTCTTTACAGTTGTGTACTGTCCATACTATCCGCTGGACAATATGTAATGGTTTTAACATGTGCAACATTATTAATCGTGAAGTAATAACTTTACAAAGTTATACAACTTGGTACACAAGACAAAATGAACTTACTGTTTTGCAATCTTAAAATGAACTTACTGTTTTGCAATCTTAACTCATCCCATTGAGTTAGGTGAGATTTCATCCCATGTAAATAAATATACATACACATACATGCACTATTGTAAATTAATACAAGTACTATACACTGCCTTGCAGGGATTTTACCACCCTTCAACATCACTGTTGGTATGCATCAGTTTCAAATTGGCCAGCTAGGAGATGGACACTTGGTTTTTGTGATGTTAATTGATTCTAATGTTTTTATTATTTGTTGTTATTGTTTTTACTGTGTCTGTTTTATCTGTAATCCTTGGGCTTATCCCTCTGTAAGCCACCCCAAGTCCCTTTGGGGAGATGGAGGCGGGGTATAAAAATAAAATTATTATTATTATCAGGAATCAACACTCTCACCATTACTATCCATTCTCTGCATGGACACTGCTACAGCAGATTTGCAGACTATGCATCCTTGGACACTCCTATATGCAGATGACATAGCACTCGGCCACCAAAAACGTGCTGCCCCCCAACAACAGTTGCAGATATGGAGTGATAGACAGTGAAAATGGACTTCAACTGAACATACCCAAAACAGAGTATCTGGAATGTGGCCTTCATAGGCTCACTGGTCTCCATAGATGGCGACACAATGCCAGTCGTATGGTCACGAATAAATGCAGCCTGGCCGAAATGCTGGCAAGAATGCCTGAACAACTCATGGCTAAGATCTACACTACAGTTGTTCACTCAGTAGCCCTCTATGGGTTCCTGGGCCCCCAAAGAAACATGAACAAGCACTTATTAACACAATGGAAATGGAAATGCTTCTTGACTGTGTGCCAAATGATGGCAGCCATGAAAGATTAGGAATAGAAGTGATCAGCAAGAAAATGCAGGAAGCAAAACTATGGTGGCATGACCATGTCATGAGAAGACAACCAATCTCAGTAGCACAAACAGCACTCCATTTGGAGATTGCAGGATGATGACCACATGGATGGCCAAAAAAAGATGGATGGACACCATCAATGAAGACATGCATGCTGCCAACCTGAGGATGCCCAAAACAAAGCCCTGTGGAAAGGACAGTCACAATGCTAACCCCCTCCATTAGGAAAATAGCTTAGAAAGAAGAAGACACAAGCATGCACACACACGCAATGTCAGATTTGTTGTCTCGATTATTCTACACTTTTTCTAGAAACATGGTGATTTAACCGATGCATGACAGGACATCTACAAAAAATAATGCCATTAACTGACAGTTTTGCAGAATCTCATTAGAGTTCACCCTTTTAAAAACGAGGAAAAACAGTAATTAACACTCAGTTTTTCCATTTGTCCCCAGGAGATGGCACTAGAGGCCAGCCATTGTATCTTATGCTCAAAACATCTATATATTGCTTTAATATTCAGGAAAAACATCAACCATTTTTGTATCAACCAATAGCATCAAACATAAATTCACCATATTAGCAGCAATGTTTAGAGAATGCTAATCAACTAATCTCATATTTTAGTCATCAGTTTGAACTGTCTGTAGCATGATTTCATATGTTCAATACACACTAATTCAGTAAACTTGATTTTCTATAGTAAAACTCATGGTCTTTTGAAATACTAAATTTGCTCAATTAAACTGATCACATATACTAGTTTGGACTGAATATAGTCAAGACACATGAGCATCTTTTATTTATAAATTTGCTAAAGCTCTCAAGTAAAAGTTCTTTAAAAACTAAGTTGTCTAGGAAATGTTTCAAGTAACAAAATGACTCCGAACAAATACTCGATGGTTTTTTGGGGGTTTTGTTGTTGTTGTTGCTGTTGTTGTTGCTGTTGTTGTTGCTGTTGTTATGTCAGGAGCGACTTGAGAAACTGCAAGTTGCTTCTGGTGAGAGAATTGGCTGTCTGCAAGGATGTTGCCCAGGGGACACCCAGATGTTTTGATCCTTGTGGGAGGCTTCTTTCATGTCCCCGCATCAGGAGCTGGAGCTGATAGAGGGAGCTCATCCGTGCTCTCCCCGGATTAGAACCGGCAACCTGTCGGTCTTCAGTCCTGCCGGCACAGGGGTTTAACCCGCTACGCCACTGGAGGCTCCCTCAATATATGGACAGAGCACATTATCATATTCTGTTGTAACTATTAGTTATGATAAGTACTTCTGCTCTTTACATCACATTGAATGTTCAACAAAGATTAAAATATATTTTATTGAATAAATAATTTTGTCTCGTTCAACTCTTGTTGGTAAAAAAGTATGTCTAGGCATTTATCTCATCATATTTACAAGGGTTTAGAATTTAGACATCTTTGAAACATCCTTCATATTACCTGAGCCAAATAATAACAGTACAGACTGCAACACATTGAGAAATTTCATCAGTTAAATAAGATTTATATATTGTACATCTCTCAATTGTATAAACAACTTCTGTAGCTGATTCAGTGCCATTTGCTATGGCAATCAAAGGGGAGGATAGACTGGAAGAGAAAACAAGAGAATGTCAACTACCTCACAGGCTACAATGTATAGTTGCCGCTGCTGCAGAGTAACATGTTCAAGCATGATGAGGGCTGCAGTCCTTCACCCAATTTGTTTTTGTTATTGTTTTGCGCCTTCAAACTGTTTTCAATTTATGGTGACCCAAACCAAAGGGTTTTCTGGAACTGAGACTGTGTGACTCACCCAAGGTCACTAAGTGGGTTTCCATGGCCAAGTGGGGAAACAAATACTGTTCTACACAGTCATAGTTCAATGCTCAAACTACTACACCATGACCCCAAGGAATAAGCCCCTTTGAACTCAACAAGCTTTACTTCCGCATAAGCATGTATATGGTGGCCACTGTTAAGACATTTAACAGTTTACCACTGCAGCCTTTCCCTCTTCAGCGCAGCTCTGGAAATGATTGTGTTTTCAGTGTCTTGTGTGCCCTTAAGAGAAGAGCTAAGCAGCTGTGGAAGGCTAGGGAGGCACATTAGCCACCCAGGAGACCATGGAGGGCCACAACTTCTCCCACAGATAAAAAAAAGTTTTCCCCTAAAGCCTCTGTGGGCATGAGTGCTTTAAAAAAGTATTTCCTTGATTCAGAGATCTGTTCTCTGAATACCACTGTGGACATTTTGGAAAATGTGGGGCTAGAAAGATGTTTCTTGGAGGGAGGGGGGGAATGCAAAATTGTTTTTACCTTCAAGTGGGCAGGGAGAGCTCCAAATGTAGTGGAAATGCCCTGAGAGTACATCTGGGATTATTTGGAACTCAAAATTGAAAAAAATTGTGCAAATTTTTTTGGCCCCTGGCAAGGTGGTGGGGGCTCTGGCGGCCACAAAATAGTCCCAAGGGGAGCATATCCCACATTCAAGCCATACTTTGCACACACTTTAGGGAATGAGTTCTTGCAAGTGCCATTAAAAAGAGGTGCATTGTGCAATTTTTCAGTGCAACTCATAGTCAAATTTACCATTGACAGCTTTTACAACAAAACACATTGTGCATACTAAAAATACAATACATACTTGATAAAGCTTCCCTTCATTACAGAAATTAGAAAAAATGCAAAATTGTTGCATTATTTGGCTCCATACAGCAGGTAAAGATCCTTTTTCTCTCCTGGCAACTAATGAAAGAACATAGTCTTCTTTTATTTTCATTTCACACCAGTATCTGGGATCATACCTTTAAATGGATCCAGTTGACCACTTACAGTCTACAGAGTGCTAACCTATCAGATCTGTTCTTGATTGATATAATTACTCTGTTTATTGGTTTTCAATATGGTTCATTCTCAGATTTATCTCGGGGCCTTTCAGCTTTTGATGCCTGTCGGGCTAGCCGAGGTGGTGGAACTGGCTTTGCTGATTTGTCTTCTTCTGCTGACTCTTCTTCATTCACAGTGCCAAATGTTGGTCTTGGCAGCAGTGGCTGCCTGAAGGCTCTGGTTCCCAGAGGATGGCTCACTGGCTCTCTGTTATCCTTCTTTTCCATTTCATTCTTCAATTCAAACCGACATTGCTGCTGTCGAAGTCTCTGGTCTCTTAAAATTCTTCCAGCTTCTGACTTTAAATTCAGCACCGAGGTAGGATCGGGTTCGAGGTCACTGTTGTCACTTACTGTAAATGCGATAAATAATTAGATATTAGTATTTTTTTCTGATGATTTATCATCAAATTAGGTTATGGAACAAAACATTATAGTAAGAATCTTAGAATGTGAAATCCACAAAAAATAGTTATTGCATGAACTACAGTGTTACTGTGTGCCCCGAGGGCCCTTCCACATAGCCCTTTATCGCAGAATATCAAGGCAGAAAATCTCACAATATCTGCTTTGAACTGGGTTATCTGAGTCCACACTGCCATATATCCCAGTTCAAAGCAGATAATGTGGGATTTTATTCAGCTGTGTAGAAGGGGCATGAGATAAGAGAGTAAGTCCAGTGGGTTTTCATGGTCAAGTGGATATTTGAATCTTGATCTCTCAGAGTCCCTGGTGCAACTTTCAAAACACTACCCCATCTATTTATTCAATTATTTGTTTATTTTATTTAAGAAATTTATACCCTGCATTTTCCCACTTAAGGGCCCAAGACGGCATACAGCAAATAAAACATGCTTAATAAAAGTTAAAACATTTAAAATCAAACATTAGTAGTTCCCATCATACATTCTAAAACATACATTATTTATTTATTTATTTATTTAATACACTTGTATACCGCTAATATCTCAGCCTAAGTCGGCGACTCATTGCGGTTTACAACAATTAAAAACAATATACAATTTAAAACAACAACACATAGACAATACAAATTATTGGGCCACCAATAACAATACCATGTATCTCGTCACTAAAATCACAGTCCAGAATTCGTCATCCATAATTAACCAGTCCTTAGTCCATAAAATTCGGTGATAACAAACTAACCGAATGCTTGTTTACACAACCATGTTTTTAATCTCTTCCGAAACACCATCAGCGAAGAGGCTGATCGTATCTCTATAGGGAGGGTGTTCCAAAGCCGAGGGGCCACCACAGAAAAGGCCCTGTCTCTCGTTCCCACCAGCCGCACTTGGGAAGCCGGTGGGATAGAGAGCAGGGACTCTCCAGAAGATCTTAGGGTCCTGGTGGGCTGATAGGCTGAGATACGTTCGGATAGATAAGTTGGGCCAGAACCGTTTAGGGCTTTAAAGGCCAAAACCAGCACTTTGAATTGAGCCCGGTAGCATATCGGCAGCCAGTGGAGCTGGTGCAGCAGAGGAGTTGTGTGCTCCCAGCGCCCCGCTCCTGTTAGTACCATGGCTGCCGCCCGTTGGACTAGTTGGAGCTTCCGGGCTGTCTTCAAAGGCAACCCCACGTAGAGAGCATTGCAGTAATCAAGGCGGGATGTAACCAGAGCATGGACTACCGTGGCTAAGTCGGACTTCCCAAGGTACGGTCGCAGTTGGCGCACAAGTTTTAATTGTGCGAATGCTCCCCTGGTCACCGCCGAAACCTGGGGTTCCAGGCTCAGCGATGAGTCCAGGATCACACCCAAACTGCGAACCTGTGTCTTCAGGGGGAGTGCGACCCCATCCAACACAGGCTGTAATCCTATACCCTGTTCGGTCTTACGACTAACCAGGAGTACCTCTGTCTTGTCTGGATTCAATTTCAATTTGTTCGCCCCCATCCAGACCGTCACAGCGGCCAAGCACCGGTTCAGGACCTCGACAGCCTCCTTAGTAGCAGGTGGAAAGGAGTGACAGAGCTGGACATCATCTGCGTACAGATGACATCTCACTCCGAAACTCCGGATGATCTCGCCCAGCGGCTTCATGTAGATGTTAAACAACATGGGAGACAGTATTGAACCCTGATAATATATTAAATAAAACATTAAAACTTTAAAACTACCTATAAATACATCATACAGTCCAGGCTTGTCCTCAAATTTGTAAGTTCAGTCAAAGGCTTCCTTAAAAAGATGGGTTTTTAGCTTTTACACATATTACATTATGTATTTGAGAACTCTTCCTTGTGCAAGTGGGGAGATTCTTCTTTCACATGACTGCTAACATGATTCAGGTCATGTTAACAGCCATGTTTCAAATCTCTCAGGTTGTGCCCCACCCTCCCTATCACATTACTCTTGACATATTAATCACATGACTGAAAATGCTCCACATCTGACTTGTATTACTCATTTCCCAGGCATCTTCAGAGATACATTTCAGTATATGTGTCCAATCGACTTGCTGTTGTCAAAACACTTAGGATAGGACTCATAGCAAACCTCGTTTGCCTAACACAGATTTAATGGGAACATAATCCTGTATGAAATGGGATTGCCACTGCAAAGAAGCTGAATGAAAGAGGGATTCCACCTGATGTATCAAATGATATATCTTGGCATATGAGGACACAGTCAGGCACCAGTACAGTCAACCATTATAATACAATAGGGGAATAAAACAGTGCCTCTGATATAAAATAGTAAAATCCAGGTTTGCTTTTTGGATTTTTTAAAAAACACTTTCAAGTTGTAGATAGGTGAACCTGTGGATATAGAATCTGAGGATCCAGAAAGCAACTGTATTGTGCTGAAAGTAAGCTGCTTATACTACATGAGAAGTGGCATTGCTTTGTGATGGACAACAATTGCAGCTATCATTTGAACAGCCTGTGTCTTAGAAGAAGACTCTGCTGCAATATAAAACTGGGGCCTTTCATTACTTAGCTGAATCAGAGTACAAAACAAGGCTGCAAAGATGTTTTATTTCTGCTAAAATCACCCTCTTTTCACTCATTGTTGCAAAGTGAATTCTACTTCCTCAGCCAGTATATTCCATGTTTGTTCTCATACACCCTCAAAATCAATGCAACAGCATCCAAACTTGATCCACTGATGACGAGGAACAGCCATGTAGTGCACTGGAAACAAGGTGCTAATTTACCTTTAAATAATACTGGGTAGAGAGAGGAGCAAGGTTACAATTACACTAAAATATGAAATAAAGGGAGAGAAATGAGAGTAGGCTAATAAATGACCACAACACATTCACTGTGTTGGATTTCTAAAGGAAACATGATATGGTGCAATGGGTAATGGATGTATTTGGTTCTTAGCCCTTTTCAGATCAAAAGAGCCTTTTACAAAGGCATGCTACTAACAGAAAGGCCTGAAAACCTAATAAACGGAGACAAACACAGTGGCATACTGAGGACTCTGGTCAAATGTCCCAAGCCTAACAGCAAATACATGGAAGAAGGAAAGACTATGGCTGCTACGTGTTTGAATTTGATATGCACATGACAGTTACTATGTTTACCATTGTATTGTTTGAAATACCACATGTTTACAACACATGATCTAGCAAAAGCAGAAGGTTTGAAAACCATAGCTAAGACACAACACAATGGCATTGGAAACCTGCAATTATCAGGAATCTATGGCTGAGATCCAAAGAATCAAACAGCTAATTCCAAACATCATAGGGCGTTGGGGATTGTGGTCCTTACACAACCTCTTGGAAAACTGCTTTATAGACTTTTCAATGCAGTTTTTGCTGCAGTGGGGGCTGCAAGTGAATTACAGAAAGTCAAGAAGGGAACTGGGAATGTTCAAACACCTAGATGTGCCTTCAGTTGTTCTTTGGATGTGGGCCTAGTACTTTAACCTCAGGGGAAAACAATAGTTTTCTTCAGAGAATTAAAGATGTCGCAACAGATCCATTGTTACATGTACCATTTTTGTCACACATCAAACAGGTTTCGCAGGTGTTTTTTTTTTAAAAAAAAAAAAGCGGAGACAATGTACAACAACAGGACTAAAGTAATTGGGTGTGTAACAGCCAATGATGCTTCCATCAGACTCCCTTCCAGGACTAGTTCAAGGTGATGATGATGGAGTGGAATTCAGTCAAATATTATCCTGTGGTCTACTCCCCCATCCAATCTTTCTCAATGTAAGCTCCTGTCAAACTCTCTTTCCGCTCTCCCATTAGTCACAAAAAGTACTATAGACTGTGAACAAGCGTCCCCATGCTGCGTGCCTAAACTCTGTTGTCACACACTCAAGCAACATGCCTTTGATCTAGAATTGCAATGCTCAATGCAATGTACTGATGGATTCGGATAGGGAATAAATGTCTCTTTCTACAACAGGGAATTATTAACAAGACAGGAGACAGAGATTGGGCTAAGTGATTACAATTTTTATTTCAGACAAACAACAGAAACACATAAAAACAACCTGATAAATCAGGCAACTAAAAACATACGTTTATAGAGAAGAATCAATGAGTTAGAAGGAGAAGGTGATGCAATATATTTGAATATTAGAGGAGAAGTTGTGAGGAGGAGAAAAGAGAAGAGTTGGGCCCAAACAAACAAGTGGGAAATGAAATTGGGCAAACAGAAACAGAAATATTAATACCTTACACATCACAGTACACATATAATTTGCTTAGGCAAGGAAGGATAGAGATAATAGAAAAGCAGAACATGAGAGAACAGGATGCAATATTTTATCTCCAGCAAAGAAAATGTCGATCTGGTGTGTATTGTGAGAATAACTCTAATACTGAAGTGTTATGGTTATGCCAATAGTCTCCAGTTTGAACTGCATTATAATGAACAGTATAGACCCCTATAATGCAGATTTTAACCGCACTGAACTGGATTATATGAGTCTACACTGCCGTAAAATCTAGTTCAGGGCAATTAACTTGCATTCTGAAACTGAATGAAAGGGCAAATGCAGATGAGGCCAAAATGGCCTTTAGTCAGGTTTCAGAGTCAAATGTGAATAGGAGACCATTATGCGTTCTCATAAGTCTGTCTTACTAACAGGATGTCGGCTATCTGTTTTTAAAATCAAGGATGGGGGAATACACAAATATTAATTACTTCTGACATTTCTTCAAGTCCAGATTACTTCGCATATATCATCTAATCTTTGCTTGATTACTTTTTGGGACTACAACTCTCAGAATCCCCAGCAGGCACAACTGTTTACTCCCTCTGTCCTGCCTGCACAACTTTTGTTAGGCATCATCTCTCCAGCAGAGTAAAATATTCTCAAATTAAAGCGCTAAGCAGTATACCCAGCAGCAATCACCTAGAAAAATGCACAGGCTAACGCCAGTTATACAACTGGAGACACAGATATATACCAAAACACTTAGGGAATGTTGCACAAAAAACACTTAACATCTGCCACCTATAAAATAATAGATGTGTAGTAAAACTACTTTGGACATATGAGGGAAAAAAATCTTGACCTTATCTAATGTTTCTGATCCCTTAACGGGTAAATGGGATAGAAAAAAATGCTGAATAGTTCATTCTTCTTTTCATTCATTACCTTTGAAAGAAGCCTGATTTCTCTTCCGTACTTTCTCAGCAAGTTTAGTGTTTTTAGGAAGTGAAAGGTAACGTGCTGCTTTGGAAGCTGGCTGTGAAAACAAACACAATATTGTATGTAAAAGATGGTAGATAAAATGTATGAGATGAGTATTAGTGGTGCTTTTTCCTACCCCACTGCATGTAGAAGTAAACTTATGAAAAAGGTGGACAACGGCACAACTATGCTAATTAGAAATTCACAGAGTGTACATATGGCACACACAATCCTGCTTCCTGTGTTGTCTACAAATTTTTTACAAATTTTAACTGTTGGAATTTGTATGTTTTTAAGTTGAAAGCCACCTTGAGTCTGCAATGCAGACAAAGACAGGGTAAAAATACTCTAAATAAATAAATAGTGCATAACTTTTATCTCCCTTAAAAGTTCTCTCTGTGTGTGCACACATGCATATACACATACCTTGCTTTAAACAGATGTGACTTATGTAATGCTCTACAAGAAATATTCTCAGATTTCATTGGCAATGATGCTGACATAATGATCACTGTCAGATCCCAATTTGTGATGAGAGTGATTACTTTAAGGTCAGCTGAATTATAGTCATATAGAGTCTGCTGTGTACTCATGAAACAGAAACCACAGGTACCAAATGAAGCATGGCGCGGCTAGTGAAAACCACTTAGTAGCCTCACCATGTTGCTCCAACAACATTTAGTCACCTTGCTAGTAGCCTATATTATAAATAACAAGTACCGGTCTCGACAGGCTGTTGCTCTTCCTAATGCTCTCCCTCAGGCTGTGTCGCCGACGAATCAAGATTTCTTTAGCTTGTTTTTCATTTGCATCTTCAGCAAGACTGTATCTGTTGTATGATGGTGTCTGAAACAAAATGAAACCAACAGTCATATTTTAAAAAATGTATTAGTGCAGTAAGGGTATTAAGGATCAAAATACAGCCATAATTTGGTGCTTTCAGAAATTTCATGAACATTCAGACTAGAATAAAATAGAAAATAAATGTGTCACTGGGGATTTTGACAGTAATTCATAATGGATTTTAATTGTTCATTTAACACCAATTCATTGTGGATTTTAACAGCATGCATGAGTATACTATTTACACTCATGTTAACCTTCTCTATAAGTTAAGGGCAAGCTTTGGGACAAATCTACAGATTATGATATGATCAATTGATAAATGAAAGTTTATTATGTAGTGAGGTGAAAACACCACCTCAGGGGCCAGCCATCTCTGTCATTTTCCCAGCCAGGCATCCTAAAAGGCCAGAAGCCAGGATGGAGAGAAGTTGGTACTTTTTAAGTTTCACCTGGGATAGACTTATCTGTCACCTTTCAATACTCTACTCTGAGAAAGGGATGGTTCCTTTTATAAGTCACCCCATAGATAAGTCAGCCCTTTTTGGGGGGTTGATTTTTGATAAAAAGTTTTTGACTGATAACTTTTTAGGGATGTGCAATTTTTTCATTAGTCATCGTAAGTTGTATCAAATTCATTACCTTCATACAATGTGATATACAACGTGCAGGTATTGTCCGTGCCAAAAACATAAGGTTCAAAACTTACTCAATACTTTTTTGTTTGCATTATCAATATCTCCAAGTTTCATTTTCAGCACAAGGAACCAAAGCAAAGCAAAAAAGGTTACATTTCCTCTTTAAATTAATGGCCTCTTGCAATTAGGAGAGGGAAGCAGCAGGGAGAAAGCAGAGTTCACTGGGAAAGAGACTGGGAAAGCACAGAATTCTGGGAAATGTAGTTTGAGAAAGCAGGGAGCCCAAGGGCAGAGAATGCAAAAGGCCCTGCTTGAAACTACTTTTCCCAGAATTCTGTTCAGCATCAGAAAGCCCCAATCAGAATAGGGGAGAGATTTGTCCCTCTGTAGCAGCAACCAGCCAGACTTCCAATAAATTGATGAATGTGCAAAGAGGAGGACTGACCGATACTTCTAGTAAGTAAATCTCTGTGCTGGGTGGGAAATCCTAAATGGAAGTCCTATTAGTTAATATGAGAGACATTCAATGATATAGCTGTTAGGCATCTCCCAATATTTATTGGGAGATGCCTAAGAGCACTGACTTTTGAATTTGTTGATCCTATGAGAGAAGGCAGAAATGACATATAGCTATGCTGTGTGCTATCCACAAAATCTCTTGGGTCATACTGTGAATAGGAGTATGTTTCATTTTAATTATTATTTGTGGTAATTACAATTCTTAGTTTTTGTAAATTAATTAATTTTCAGGCATCAGGTCCAAGTTACAAAAGCTCTGGAAAAGCTTCTTTGAAAACCATAGGGTGGAAATTAAAAATAAACATCATGGGAGGATGTACACCATTAACAGCCAAGGATTCATACAAACAAGGGCATGAACTAGAAGACAAGCCACTGAGACATATCCTAATTCTGTACCACAGGAAATGCATCACTATCCATTGGTTAGTGCAGCATTTAGGCACAAGAGATCAGAATCCAAAAGTAATTGTCAGCATTACCTGTTGTAATTCTGAGATGTAGTGTGGTTCTATTAATCATTATACTTGTAAAGTAAGTAAAATAAAACCAGAACTGCATTGTTTATTCCTCTTTTTTACTCTGTAGTTATTTTTCCTGAACAAAAAACAATGTAGAACAGTACAAAATGTGACTAAAATAAGAAAAATCCCTGAAGATGCTTTTGCTGCTCCGAAGTAATGAGTAAAAACATAAATAACCAATACTTTTTTTAAAAAGTACTTACCAGTAATTATGTGACTTTTAAAAGGTGCATCATTATCCCCCATTGCTCAATTAACATTATTATTTGTAATGGGCTATTTCCAAATGGTTGCAAAACCTCACTTGGTCAAATTTAATCTTAAATGGTAGCACTACCAATCAGCCTCAGTAATCTCTTAATGAAAAGATCTTTTTATAATAATAAAGACAAAGAATTATTTTTATAATAGTCGGGGTATAGAATTCTGATCCTTATTGTTGTTGTGAACTTTCAGGACATTTCCATCACATGGTGACCTTAAATGAACTATTATGGGGTTGTAATGGCAAGATTTGTTCAGAAAAAAGGTTTGCCATTGCCTTTCTCTGGGCTGAGACCGTGTGGCTTGCCCAAGACCACTGATTGGGTTCAATTGCTGAGCAGGGATTCGAGCCCTAATCTCCAGAGCCATAGTCCAACCCTTAAACCACTATGTCATGCTGGCTCACATGCTAGAAAATGTATCATAAATAAAATGTACTGATGTTTTGAATGAAATATCAGTACATTTTTGAATGAGCTACAGCATATTCAGAGTTTATGTTAGAGTAAACACTGTCACTCCGGCTTAGTGCTAAAGAATAATATTTGAAACCAAGTTCCAACAGGCTGCTACAATCCACTCTTGAGTCTTTTGGTAAAGACAAAAGTACAGCTTGTCAAGTTTCTTTTTCTGTAATACAATTTATTCATCAGCTTTCTTATATGCTAATCCTAAATACATTTGCTTGGAGGCAAGTCTCGCTGATTTAAATGGAAATTGCTTTCAAGTAAGCTTTCTTATGATGGCATCCTAGTGCTTTCAACAGGGAAGGAAAAAATCACCAGCTGAGGAAGTAGATACATTTACAACAGGGCAGTCCATTAATATGGTTTTCTACTTACTCTCTGTCGTATTTGATAGAGATTCTTCGTTAAAATATCTCTTATATCATCCGTAAGGGCAGGATAAGAAGGAATTCTTTTTTCTTCTTCTTGAAGCTCACTGTTGCAAAATAAAATATAAAGCTCAACATGTTATAATTCAAAATAATCTGACCTACATTTCCTTCAAGACAAAGTGTGATTTTAAAATTTGAGAGGACATGTTATATTTTTGTCAGAAAAACATGACTGGTCTAATTAAAATGATCAAGGTAAAGGTAAAGGTTGTCCCCTGACATTAAGTCCAGTCATTTCTGACTCTGGGGTGTGGTGCTCATCTCCATTTCTAAGCCGAAGAGCCGGCATTGTCCATAGATACCTCCACGGTCATGTGGCCGGCATGACTGCATGGAGCGCTGTTACTTTCCCACCAGAGCGGTACCTATTGATCTACTCACATTTGTATGCTTTCGAACTGCTAGGTTGGCAGAAGCTAGGGCTCAGAGCGGAAACTCACGCCGCTCCCCGGAATCGAACCTGTGACCTTTCCGTCAACAAGCTCAGCAGCTCAGCGCTTTAACCCACTGTCCCACGGGCAGTGATTATGTATTATATTTAAATGATTATGCATTATATTTAAATGGCTCAAAAAGCACAAAAGTGGATAGAAACTAACTAAATTGCTGATATTTTTAAAGAACAGGCTGAAGCGAAATGTTTTTTCAAATCTAAACATGAAAAATTGGATTCAAAAATAATTGTTGGCAGGATGGAGAATTGATTTTTAAAAATAAATGATCATCTGCCCTTTAAACAGACTACTTAATATAAATAAATGCTTGTAGTATTAAAATACAAAGGTATTGCCAAAAAATATCAAATATCCCATTGTATCCAACTGAAAAACGCTCAAAGAAACACTATAATAAACATGTGGTTTGAGAATCCCTTATCCACAATTTATGGAGCCAGGAGTGTTTTTGGATCTTGGATGGGGTTAGATTTTGGAACATTTATATATATAAAGTGAGTTATCTTGGAGATCGAATCTAAGCCTAAACATGAAATTAAATTATGTTTCATTTACATCTAATCCACATAGCCTGAAGGTAATTTTATACACAATTTTTTAAATACATTTGTGCATGAAACACAGCTTCCCCTTAATCTACACTATGCTCCCACTGAGCCTGCCCATTCAGTGACATCTTTGTACAGATCAAAGACCTCATAAGATGGGCAGGTGGAAAGTGGTGTAAAGAAGGCGAAATGGAAAAATAGACTGAACTGCCCTCCTTCATTCCCTACCACCTTTCCCTGTCTCTTGGGATGGCTTCCCATCCAACATGGTTTCCTATCTTTTCCTTATCCTTTCCCTGTTTCTTCTTTATCTTCATCAATTAGGAGTTGGATAACACCTGACTCCTCCAAAGCCAAACGTTGTCAAAACAGAGCTTCATGGAGTCCCACCAGAAGTTGCCTTGTGTCATGTGATGGGTTCTGTGGGACTCCGTTTCGTCAATGTGGACAAATAAGGAAAAGACACAGAGAAGACTGTGTCCGATAAGATCCTTAGTTAGCAGCAACAAGAAACTGGGCCTTTACAGTGCTGAAGCTACCACTGTGAAATGCTTTCAAAAGGAAGTCACCTGATACCTGTTTTTCTCATAATTCTGGCACAAGGCAAATACTTTTCCTGTAGTCCTAAGCATTTGAAATGCTATCCCTCTAAATGTTCTCATTAATCCCCTGCCATCTCATTTTCTAACAGTTATTAAAATGTCCTTGGAAAATCTTTGAAAAATATAAATGTTTGGAATAAATGTACTGAAACATGCAGCCTTAAATGTGGAAAATAATTTATTTTCACTTTCAATCTTGGGACAACAAGAGAACAACACACTTCGAGAAAAATGACCTTACAGCATGGAACAGCTCATATCAGGACAACATAAACTGACAATGGTATTACCATCTACATACCTGAGAGAAGCTAGAGATGGTACTGTTGTCATCATTCCATTCTCTGCCATCTCAATGGCATGTTTTATTTCAAGTTTCTGGTATAGAGCTACTATACTTGATTTGGGCTGACTTTCCCTAATTAGAAGTTTCCTCAGATACTTCTTATCAAACTTTATAAACCTATAAGAAGAAGATGTAGTGGTATTAACTAATTTATCTTGCTAATGCATTAAAGGAGTACTGTAGTTAAGGCAAGTTCCACCCCAGACACTATTTTCCTTAGTCTGAAAAGTCTATTGCTTATAAAAGTCACACCAGTTCATTATCTTTTCAGTAGAATCAGTGACAGTGTCAAATATCAAACTAATAAAGTTAAAACTGCCACAGATTCAGGAAAGTAAAAACTATAAAAGTTTACATTTACCTTTTTTACTAAAGTTTTAAAACAGGTGTATCATATAGCACTTATTAAAAATGAATTAAGTCTTGGTGAGGACACAGTCCTTTACATCTTGATGAGATTCTCAATAGTGACTATGATGATTACAACAGTTTTCCTGTCCCATATCCTAGAAATCCCCACTTCTATTCATTACAGACACTTGGCACCACAAATTGATTCCAAGTAACTGCCTAATGAATTGTGTGGGATGAGGAAAAGATGATGCCCAAATTGCAGGGCAGCCTTGGTTCTCCTGGTGGAGGAGGAGCGACCTGGAAGCACATGGTGGATCTCAGAGAGGCAGTGCAGCTGCAGGGATCCCCATTTCCCACTCCACTCTGCCCCACCCCACCCCCAATGCATGACCACTGCAAGCCAACAGCATCCCAGAGCTGCTGGGAGCTGACTGGCTGCTTTGATCAGCTGGACAGAGCATATATAGGCATTCCACAGCAAGGGGCTCTTCAGCTGCTTCTGGGTTTACTCAACTACTTCTCCCTCTAAGTACGTGCGGCAATTTTGTTACAACTTTGAGTTGAGGAGTAATTGGCATTGGTTTTGGATCCAGGAAATAGGGACCAATGCAAACAGCTGCTGCTGAATTCAAGGGGTTCCATGGTGGAGAACCCCGGTTGAGGTGTGGCTATAATGAGGTCATACCCAGGTGGAGGTGGACCCAGATTGCATCAGGGACATGAGGTCTGAGATATATCATAAGCTGGGATGGCCCAGAAGGTTGTCTTAGGCAGCCATGACTGACAACCGGCACAAGGCCAGCTATGTAGTTATATTGGTTGACAAGCAGACCTGCTGACATTAGGATCGAGACCCGTGTAGGGCAACTTTGCTGAGCTGTAACCAAATAATATTGTGGCATTTTTACTACCAATGCACAATGTTGTTTTTTTTCTGAGTACATCTGCGAGGAGGGCCAACGATCCGCTTACACAGTAAAAGGGACAGCAGGCAAGACTTGCATTTTAGTAGCTACCCTTTTCAATTTGACTCTCTGGGCAACTGACAGTCCAGCATCAGAAAAAGTGGTGGAGGATGGAAAAGGTGGTTGGACAGGGAGAAGAGAAGGTGAAACAAAGAAAAAATGATTTTGAAGTAAATCAAGTTTTGAATTCAGATAGTGAATTGATAGCTGGTAGAAAGGCCAAGCAAAAAGCAAGACAGAAAAATAACTCCTTCCTTGGAAATAAATGTCTCTTAACTCATGCAGACTTTCTGCCAAGTAAATTTTCCTCTTATTGAAGTGTCATTTTTATATATTTTTATTTAAATATCTAGCAGTCAAGTCTCATAAAGCTCATTATTTGTGAAATATTATTACAAAAAATAATATTGTATAGAATTAGCACATTTCAGAAAGTCAATATTGTACCAATTAATCTAACTGGCCTTTGACTTTTGGTCTTCAATGCTCTACGTACTTATCTTTCCAAAAGTTATGACCCCAATGTCCACACACATCTTCAACACCAGCCTTGACATGATCAAAGAACTAAAATGTAAAAAAAGAGAAAAGAATCATTACTTATTTTTGTGCATATGTTCGCTATATGTGAATCTTACAGGAACATTAATTTGTCACATAGATGTAACAGAAAAAGTTTCAACTGATATAAAAAAATTAAGACTAGGCCAACTCTAAAGTCTTTCTATATATTAAACTATACCCTCGTGTTATGATAACCCACCCAAGGTGAATGGGACAAAAATATTAAAGACTGTGCTTCCCTTATACAAAATTCTGAAATCCAAAATATTCCGAACTCCAAAAAATGTCCAAATGGGTGGCTGAGATGGTAACATCTTTACATTCTGATGGTTCAATGAGCATAAACTTTTGTTTCATGCACAAACCTATTATAACTACAGTGTATAAAATTACCTTTGAGGTATGTGTATAAGATATACTTAAAACATAAATGGATTTGTGTTTAAACTTGTGTCTCATCTCCAAAATATCTCATTATATACATATATACAAATACATGCAAAATACAGAATGCATCTAATCCCAAGCACTTTGGATAAGTGATGCTCAAGGCATTTCTCCTTCATTCTTTTTTCTCAACCAGTCCTTGGTCTATCCAGGCATGACTGGTGGGGACTAGAGACAGGGCCTTCTCTGTGGTGGCCCCTCGGCTATGGAACTCCCTCCCCAGTGAGATCGAATAGGCCCCCTCCCTCTTGACATTTAAGAAACTACTGAAAACGTGGCTTTTCAAGCAAGCATTTGTGGAGTGAGATGAAGCAGTCAAGATAACTTCGGGATTGGTGAAATGTCGAATGTTCTATGTTTTATGTTTGTCTGTGTCCGAAGTTTATAGTTCACGGGTTTTAATTCATTATTATTTGCTATTTTAGTGATGTGACATATTTTATACTTTGTGAGGCATTGAATTTTGCCAGTTACTTGTGGTGAACCACTTTGAGTCCCCCTAGGGGTTGAAAAAAGCGGTATGTTAATGAAATAAATAATTAACCATGCCTCCTCTCTTAGTATATATGCATGTCCTGGTATGCAGGTAGCTCTTGCTTTGGAATGTATTTCCAAAGCAATTAGTTTGGGATGAAAGAGAAATCCACTTGGCCATTTGTCTGTAGTTGTGCCTTTAGGCAATGTTTGTAGGACCCATTGCCCTGGTCCACATGCAGCCTTCAGGAGACCGTTCAATTTTGTCTACATAGCCTACATACAAGTATACTAAAAAAAAAAACCCAAAACCAAAACCCAGTATCAACAACAAAAGATTAAAAATACTTTTTCTAGAATAATACTATTGCATCCTAAGCATCCAAAAAAACAATAACTGCAAACTACAAACAATCTATGTTATCTAATCTTAGGGATTTACATTCTCTGTCTGGTGTTTATATTCTCTCTGTTTTCTGCACCCATTTGGTGAAAAGGAACCATTGATACATCCTTTCTCACATACTAACACACTTCTAGTCCCAAAAAAACAAACAAAAAAAAAACAGTGATGGAGCTTTGGCTCCATCTTAGCTGGATGAACACAATAAATGGGGCCCAGTCTTTCTTATAGTTAATTAGATTTTTCTCCTTAATCAATACAGTAAGTTTATCAATTTCTGCAAGTTCACTTATTTTCATAAACCAATCGTCTTGAGATGGAATCATTGAGTCCTCCCCTCTTTGAGAATAAGTAATTTGAACTGCCATTATCATGCATACCAATAACTTTCCCTATTTTCTATTGAGAAAATAGTAACTGTAAATATTAACTGAATTAAATTCATGTATAAAAGGAGAATGCTGTAGTAAATTTTCATCACCATTCAAGGGGGTTCAGGGAGTCCCAATCTGGCTATCATTTGGGCTCAATCTGGCACCCCAGAAACTGAATCAGGCCCATATTTCTGGTCAGTGTATAAGAGCCCAAGGCTCCATCTTATACAACATGTTATTCAATATGGATATGAAGTACTTGGGGGAGGTCATAAGGAGATATGGGGAAAGATGCAGGTATACAGGTAATGAACCAGTGCCTATATAAGCTGAATGAAGTCCAATACACTGAAGATGCTTCCAGATAAGACACAAGTTCTATGTGGGTTGCTGGGTTTTAGGGTCATGGAACTGTGAAACTTTTCTGCCCTTGATGAAGCTGCACCTCCCTGAGAAAATGCTTTCTTGGGAGTATTCTTGAATCCATTATTCCATTGCAGAAACAGATGGACTTTGTGGCTAGAGTATTTGGAGCCAATTTTGACTGGTCTACCAGCTATGGCCACACTGGTCCATGCACTGGTAACTTCCTAATTATAGTACCATGCACTTTATTCAGGATCACTGTTGAAGATTACTTGGAAACTTCAGCTAGTACAAAGTGCAGCAGCTCAACTGGTAACCAGAACACCATACAATAATCATATCACACCAGTTTAAAAGAAGTGCAATAGCTGCCAATATGTTTGCAATCTGAATTCAGGATGGTGATAATTGCATGACCTAAATGGCTTGAGTCATTAAATCTTGAAGAAGCACCACTTCATATACATACCTGTTCAACATGTATTTATTTATTTGTTTGTTTATTATATTTATATAGCATCTCTCTCAATCTGCAGGCAACTCAAGTCCGCAAGGTGAGCCCTCCTCTGTATCCCATCAGTTAGGGAAATATGTGGCAGAGGGCCTTCTTTGTTATGGCATCCCAATTATGGAACACCCTTGAAGGCCTGATTGTCACCAGCACTGTTGTCATGTCAATGTCAGGTGAAAACGTGGGAGCTAACTAAAGCTTTGAGGGCCTGATTTTCCACAAACCTCACTTGTATATTGTTTTACATTGTTTCAACACATTTAACTGTTTCAACCAGTCTTTCTAACTTGTTAAAATGTTTCAGCTTTTGAAAGTTTTGCTATTATTTACACTTTTTCAATTTGTCAGACTGGTCACATTGTATCCTACCTGGAGATCTCTGGATAGGTGAGATTTGTAGTGGTGGTAGCAATAAAGAAACTAAGACTTAAAATATGATAAAGGATCTGAAAAACTCCTTTGGATATATTTCAGTCCTAAAATAAACCATAAATGTATATAATAAATGCATTACATGTGCATTATGTATAACACACTACATTATTTCCTATTACAGAAGAAAAATGCAGCTACCCAAATGAAAATTCAATGCATTTCCAAGTAGCACATTATGCACGCAAGCTGTAAACATACCCGACAATAAATTTCTTCACTGACAGCAGGTTGCTTTTTATTTGCTTTTTTAACATCAAGAAATTCCACAAGTGGGCGAATTGTTATTCCCTGTGCAAAAGACAACAGCAACAAGCATAAAAATTAATTCAGCCCTTAAAGTTATTTTCCATTTGTTATTTTCATATTCTGTTGGATAAATACATTTTCAGCATGTGGCATAAGGGTGTGGAGTTATTCAAAGGTAAAAACAAGAACTTTGTGTTTCATAAGAGAAGGTATGGCATTAAGAAATAGTTTAATATTGTCTGGAATGGAATTCTAGACTGAGCTGCATTCTAGGTTACAGTGTATGAAGAGGAAGAAAAAGATCTGGTACTCCAGCAAAAGTACACTATAATCCAGAATTTAGATGAAAAGGAGACAAATTCTGGATTTTTCAAGGGATTTACTGGAGAAAATCACAACTAAATATAATGTAAAGGCGATGGAGGCATAAAACCCATGTCTAGTTAATGTAGAGTTAGCAACCTTATACTTACAAATTGCTTGGTTCCATTTCAGCTGACTCCTTATTTGTTTTTCCCTCATCTACTTTCCTCACTTTAATCCTGTCATTTTTTTTTCTTCCCACTTTCCTTTCCATTAGACAGCATTTTTGAATTTGCACAAGTGTCTGTATGTAAAGTTCTGAGTCCCTTTTGAGTAAGAGGGGTGGGATATAAATATAGTAAATAAATCAGCTACTGGGTTGTTGGTTTTTCAGGCTATATGGCATTATCTCCTGACATTTCACCTGCATCTATGGCAAGCATCCAAACCTCACAACCTCTGAGGATGATTGCCATAGATCAGTGGTTCTCAACCTGGGGTCCCCAGATGTTTTTAGCCTTCAACTCCCAGAAATCCTAACAGCTGGTACACTGGCTGGGATTTCTGGGAGTTGTAGGCCAAAAACATCTGGGGACCCCAGGTTGATAACTACTGCCATAGATGCAGGCAAAATGTCAGGAGAGAATGCTTCTAGAACATGGCCATATAGACCAAAAAAGCTACAATAACCCAGTGATTCTGGCCATGAAACCCTTCGGCAATACAAATAAACTACTTTTACACATTTTACATTGAAGCCCCAGTCCTGAGTTTGCAAAACTTGAGTGAGGCTGTTGGTAACAGGGTGACTTGGAGATCTCTCATTCATATGTCCTTTGTTTGATATCCCCTTCAAACAACACTCAAATGGCTTAAGAGCCTTTTCAAACTACAGTTACAGCATTAAAGCTCTCTTTAACTATCATATCCCATCCTATGAAATCCTGGGATTTCCAACTTAGACATCAGTATTTAGAACTTTTAGCCAGAGAGCTCTAGTGCCTCTCAAGACTGCAAACTCCAGGATATTTATAGGTTGCAGTCATGCCAGCTAAACTAGAATCATAATGTTAAGTGTAGTGTGAAAAAGCCATATGACAAGATCATACAAGATGATAAAAGTAGACATTATATTAGTACATTATTAACTAATTTATCAATAAGCTCGTGTGTTTCTTTTTGTATGAAATCTTTGATAATAGGAACTGGGCCTATTATAGGATTGTAAAGCAAGTAACTATTTAGTCCCATCATGTTGGAAAGTACTATGTACACAGTCTCACCTGAATGAAGACAGTAAAGAATATCACCACAATAGCAGCTGTAATGAAAAGCTTCTTTCTGGGGAACACAGCAGATGGAAGCAGGAAAACAAGTGAAAAACATATGGCTCCTCGGAGGCCTCCATAGGCAATAATAAATTGGTCCTTAAATGTTATAGGAATTGTCCGGAACACATTAATGATTTGAGTCAATGCAAAAACCCCTAAAGGAAATAGGAAAACCTTACATTTAAGAACCACTCAGAACCTTACATTTAAGACAATGGAAAGCTTCAGAAACAAAGAAAAATACACATATATTTCTATTTGCATTTTTCCCCTCCTTGGGAGTTTCTCTCCATCCTTTCACAAGGGTGGAGGATTTTCTTGATAAAAATCTCATACCTACAGTATGTAAGAGAAGGACCCTTTTCCACTAGGAAAAAAAATCCCAAGTCTGCTGCACTTAAAAGAAATCAGATGCAAGGATTTATTTATTTATTATTTGTGGTATTTGTATATGACCCTTCTCAACCCCAAACGGGACTCAGGGCAGTTCATAGTATTGGCAACAATTCAATGCCATTGATAAAATACAGTATAAACATCAAAATTAACCCTTCCCTGAGAAAACATTAAACATTATTAAACCCATTGCATAAAATCACATATCAAACAAAGACATAGCCATGGTTCGTAAACAGTCCTGGGTCATTGCACTTTCAAATTTCACTTTAACTTTAAATATTCCTATGATGGGATTCTACAGAATTTCATTTTGTTTTATAGTGCTATATCATTTTTTTCTCTATTTTCCATTCTGATGTTGCTGGGCCACAAAGAGAAAATGGCTGACTCTTCAGTTTTGGATCCCGGATTTATCAATTTTGATGCTTAAAAGTCCTTAGGAAGGATCACCTGGAAAGTCCCATTATTTTGGTACCAAAATCATATCTTACAAGCAGTTTTTACTTCCCTTGAGATTAGCTTTTTCTTTGTCAAAGGCACCACTCCATTAAATATAACATTTTCTGTTATAAAGTGTGTTACAGAGCAAGTGAGAATGTATTCAGTAACTCTTACCTAGTGCACGCCAAACCAAACAGAACAGGAGAGTGAAGCAAACAAAAGCCCAGTTCCACTCATGATTTTTTCCAATTGTAGATACTCCCATGAAAATAAAGATAAGCGTCTCACTGACACTGCTCAACATCTTCATGAAATATTTTATTGTAGTGTACGACTTTTGAGAAACATTCTCCTCCACATATTTGTTCATAGTCATAGCACAAGCTGTAATCCTGCAAAAGAAAACCATATTCCGTTTCTTTGTAATCATAAAAACGCATTCACTATGATCCCAAAAACATAGACTATTATCCCAAACATTTTCTAAGAATTGTGAAAGGGTATTTTCAAATTTTCAATTTTCAAATTTCTAGTGAAATTCTCACTTAAACAACTCAGTGCACTGTGTATATTTTCAGCTTCACAGAGATACATCAAACTGTGGTTAATAACAAACCCTATTATTTTCTGTTGGACAATCAACAGAGGAGTTGTTGAAAGGACATAAATGAATAAAACGTTGCTGCTATTATTATTATAAATTAATAAAATGTTGCTGTTATTATGACCCCTTGCTTCTCCCAATAATAGGACTAAAGGCAGCTAATATCATATTTTTAAAAAATAGTAACATCAATACTGCTCATTTTATTTTCCTCCTGCACAATTGTTCAAGGGTACTTTAGAATAATTCCTGAAATATACAGATTGTCTCAAAGCTAAGGCTAAACTTTTAATTTTTTTCTTGTAGAAAAAAAATTAGAAATGAATAACCCTTAAAGGAAAGTCATTAGTCCTTGATGTTTTGGAAAAACATTTCATACCATCATACTGACTAAGCATGATGAGCAGCTGCTATAATTAAGTGTGCCTTATCTGTTGTTCAGCTTTGTGGGATGTGATGTGTCATAATTTCACTTTTCATGGGATGGCATTCCATGACGTTGGATGAGCTGCAAATGCATATCTTGTGTCTGTGGCACTAGGCTTCCATTTTAATTTTGAACTTTGAGCTATTTTCCAAGATGTGCCATGACCTACAAAATATTTTCCGGATTGACACCTGAAACTTCTGTTTTGTGTAAATTTCAAATGTTTGCAAAAACAAATCTGTCTTTGCTACAAATAAAATTATGACTCATCAGATCAGATCTCGGAAAAGTTATTGTTGGACTATAACTCCCAAATTTCCAACAAGCATATGACACCATGTGTGTTTTTATTCTTGTTAAGTTTATCACACATGCAGATGTATACCAGTGAATACTGCAAATGAGATACTCAAAAATATAATGCATGCAAGGCATAGGCTGCATCTACATTGTCATATAATGCAGTGTGAGTATCACATTAGCCTGGTGCATCCATACAAGGCATACAGGCTAATGTGATTTACCTCTAGGTAAGTGACAATGCAGCTGGATCCCAAATTTACAAAAAAGTGGAGAATCTGAATTCTGCAGCAAGATTGACATCTTCCCCACTTTGGAGCAGAGGGGACGCCATTCCAGATCCTGATGAAGGCTCAAGAATTGTGTCCCCACAGCCGTCTCATGCTCCCTGGGCCTAGCTAGCCCTAGGAGGTGAGATGGCAATCCCTTCCTGCTCCCAGCATTTCCCTCATCAAGAAAATCTCCCCTTTACATCCTATTCTTCTCATCCTGTTTATTCATCATTAAGTGAGCCTGATAGCTTTTGGAGGAGGAGAGGGTGCTCACTCCTCCCAAACTGCTTTTCTCACTTAATGACCAAAACAATAGGAAGGGAAGAGCAAGCAGCACTGCTATTGTGAGATTTCCTTGCCTTTTTCAGAGGAATGGGGGTGCTGGGGAGGAGGGTTGGAATCTTGCCCCATGTTCAGATATAGTAGCTTCTGCACAGCTGGCCTGTAGCACCAGTGTCCTGTCACAGATGCAGACCAGAATACCCTATGTGGTCTCAGTGCAACTCAGAACTGTATGGAAGGTCCCAGGGCCACCCTTGATTTGGAAATAGGAAGCAGGAACCTTCTCTGATTTTCCATTTTTACCCCATCAGCTAGAGTCCCTAACCAAATTTCAGCCAGTTTGCAGTGTGGCACAAATAAATTGACAAAAAGGAAGAAGCTACAGTGTGTGGCCTGAATCATACTATTGTCATCTAAATTTAAGTGGTCCTTTGATATTCACGTGTCAAGTAACCACATTATGCTCACCAGAAGAATTCATCATCAACTGCAACTTCTTGGGGAGAACAATGGGGATATCACACCCAACCAGTCCTGGGTTTCATTGGATGTTTTAAGTCTATTGGGCCTCACAGACATTCCAGAGTCCAATTATTTCCAAGGTTTGCCAGTCATTCTACAGACTGATAATTACAGCACCATTGTGAATTGTAATCTTAATAACTGAAATAAATTATAATTGTGCACAGTTTGAAGCTATAGTATGTTTACCAGCTTTGACAGTGCAATGTCATATGAGTACATGGCCTCTCAGAAATAAGTCCATTGAATTCAGTAGGCAATGCTCCCAAAACTGACATGTCCAGGAATATGCCAGTGTTCTACTTTTTTCCAATAAAAATAAATTAAACATTGGATTTTTAAAATATGAAAACAAGGAAATGAAGCAGAAGGGAAAGAGGGAGAGAAAGAAAAGGGAAAGAGAAGAAAAAATATGTAGGATATTTAGAAGGGCTAGGCATAGCAATTGACTATAATGTCAAAACTGCATTGCTAAAGCAGAAGGATCCTCTGTAAGAAAGATTTCAGCTGACTTAAACGTACCTAGAATAATCACATTCACTTATCTAAAACCATCTTTAAACAAGGAAAAATGAAACTGCTAAGGGCAGTGTATGCATATATTTTATAGGTCCACCATGAATGCAAGTCACCCTTGCACAAACAAGGCAGTTTCTGTCTGGTGACTGGAAAAATCTAGATCACTAGCTGTGGTCATCAAGTTTCTTTGACCTACTACTAAGACTTACAATCGTTTCAGTATGCTTCCAGCCATTCTAGTTTGGAGCAAAAATAAAATGAAATAAAGACTTTAAAATAACATGAGAAGAGTTAAAAGTATGTACAGGTAAAAATCTAATTTTTCCAAAGCAAAAAAATCCCTGGGTTATCTGTTCTCATTAATTTTTAAAGTAAAAAAACAGTTAAGAGGAATTCAGGAGCTGGATATGAAGCTGCTCCAAAAACACATCTGAAGCTGGGTTGTTGTAGGGTTTTTTGGGGCTGTATGGTCATGTTCTAGAAGCTTTCTCTCCTGACATTTCACCTGGATCTGTGGCTGCCACAGATGCAGGCAAAACGTCAGGAAAGAATGCTTCTAGAACATGGCCATACAGCTCAAAAAACCTACAACCCAGTGATTCCGGCCATGAAAGCCTTCAACAATACATCTGAAGTTGCTCAGTGTTGTGTATCTTCCTCTTAATTCCCCATTTTTAAAAAAGAGTTGGAATCAACTTTAACAAAGTGTGGCCATTGTAATGAATATGCTATTAATTAAGGCTATTAATTTCAATGAATCTGATCAAATTATTACTAAGCGTGGTTCTGGCTCTATTTATCTGCTTGGACAAATGCAGGAGGATTCCAGGCCATCCCCACATTACCTCTTCCTCTGGGAAATACCCTTGTTGTTGCCATTGTGATGGACTTAGGGTAGCAGTCAGAACAGATGGACATCATCAAAATATTTGGCTTTTGAGAGGAGGGGGGACCTTATTTTTGAAAAACCAACTTGTCCAGAGACTTCAAGGTTTTCTCGGTAGCTTCCAGGGGACCAAGAATGGCTCCACTAGGACAATATGTGGCTGATGGGATACAATTTTCCCACCTCTTCTATATACCAGTAAGATGCCTAAGTATGACTGCAACCACCAATCAGATAGGGAAATATATTAGGAATAAAATATGAAGAAGTAATTTGTTGCCTTCAAATCATTTCCAACTTAAGAAGACTCAAATGCAAAATCATCAAGAGGATTTCCTGCCAAGATTTGTCTGTAAGGAGTTCACCATGACCGAGGAGGGATTCATGCATTGGTCTCTCAGAGTGCTAGTCCAACAGTAAAATCAGTGTACCATACTGGCTTTCAATTTCTAGGTTAATGAACTTTTAGCACAGCACTCTGTCTGTTAACTGAGTTCCGATTACAGCATGCTATATACGCAGCTTATCAGTAAAGAACATTCTTGTGGGCTCTAGGTAGGAGGTTGGACTTTATTCTAACCTTCTTTATTCTGCTTGCTAATTAATAACTGGCTAATTGTTATCAATTGTTGGTTCTGGGATTGCAGCCTAATGTAGGGATATCCTGAACTACATGAAATAATAGTTGGCTACTGGAATTTACCAGAACAAAATGTTATAGCAGTACAGCAGTTAAAATTAACTTATGTTCCAGCAAAACCTGTCTTTCAAACTGGCTGTGTTAGCATTTCCAGAATAACTGCCTTTCATTTCATATAATTACAATACATCACTAAGAAAACAAGTTTCCAGTGAGGGTCTATGCTAGCTGGATGCAATAAAGAGTTATCTCAGCAAATGACCAAGTATCATAAAACAGCAATCACCCTGTTAGTGCCTTGTGAACTCATTCTGTTTGCAGTCAAATCTCTTAGAAGGCCAGTTGTAGTCCTCTGTTATAAGCACAACAAAAAATCTCATGGCAATAACAGATTTATGGTGGCATAAGCTTCCATGGACATTGTCCATATAATTCGAATTAGAAACAGGAGGAAACTGGTAAGTACTCATATACTATTAATAGTATCTGAAAGACTAGATGGGGCTTTTCAGAATGGGGTCACACAGTTTAATCTGTTGCTTTATTTGGATTTGTATCTAAGAAAGAGGCATATTTAACCTTATTTAAATTAATATATTTTCCCATTGTTCACTTTATGTATGACCAAAAAATCTTCCAGAGCAATTTTTTTGCACCATATAGAGATATCAGAAGAGTTGCATTGCTACTGGAGATATAGATAAATATATATAAAGGAGATTATCACACGACATTGTTAAAGCACTACTATACCATTTTCGTTCCTACAGCTGCCTCTCATGTAATTATGGGGTTCTAGTCATACCAGCTACATGATCTAGGAAGCATCTATGGACAATGCTGGCTCTTCGGCTTAGAAATGGAGATGAGCACCACCCACCAAAGTCAGACTCCACTAGACTTAATGTCAAGGGGAAACCACTACTTTACCTTAGTTCAGTGATGCCCATGAACTCTCTGACTGAGAGTTTTAAAGAGTCCTCCCCCAAGTCCCAGGATTCCATAGGAGGCACCCATAACATTTAAAGTGCGATAACAGTGCTTTAACAGTGTAGTGTGAAAATCTCCAAAGCCAAGTTCCAGCACTTCAAAGTGAGATTATGGCTCCTTCTACACTGCCATATAATCCAGATTATCTGCTTTGAACTGAATTATATGAGTCTACACTGCCATATCATCCAGTTCAAAGCTGATAAATTGGCTTTTAAAATTGTGTGTGTATTTCCCAAAACAATGAAAAAGGACATTACATTAAAACATTCACCATCTGGTTAGAGTGAGCAATAATCTGATAAATGATAGGGATCATTTAGTCATTTAGTCCGGAGACTCAACTATGAGAGTCTTGATGGTCAAATTTTATCATTACAGGCTAGTTTTAGGGAGGCTGAGCCTATGTTCATGGGTCTACAACTTAAGTAAATCTAATTCTACTCACAAAGAATATTGAATCTATTATTGTCCTTTGAACATTCATAACTCACAACTATATCCTGGTGATCTCAAAGGAAACCTGAGATTAAAGATTCTAATTAATTCATAGTATTCTTAGCACTGTATATATTTTAATGGATACTTACGCCATAATGCCTGAAAGGTGAAACATTTCAGCTGTTATGTATGCCAAGTAACTGTATAAGAAGACAAAGAGTGGCTCAATCACTCGGATTTTGTGAGTATAACGAGTAGTAAATGCTGCAACAAATCCCAGTATGATTCCAATCAAGACTCCACCAATGCCAACTACAAAGAAATTAGCAATTCCAGCAAATACGTCAATGGCTTCAATTGTACGCATCTGGCAAAAAGACTTGAATAAATTGTACAGGACCTATGAGGGGAAAAGGTTGACCTTTTAGAATTCTATTAAGATCAAATAAGCACAACATTAACCCCAAATGTAAAACTGTATAATTTAGATGTAACATAACTTCTGACAACAGAAAGTTTCAAAATAAATAAATAAACATTTTCAAAAAAGGAAATATGTGATCCTGAAACACAAACTACTCAAATCAAGTTACTTCAACGTGTACTATTTGTTTGTTTGTTTGTTTGTTTGTTTGTTTGTTTGTTTCGCATATTTGTATCCCATCCTTCTCACCCCCAAGGGAGGACTCAGAGCGGCTTCACGACAGGCGAGCACAACATGGGATACCTCCCGTGTTGCTAGGAAAAGTGCCTCACAACACTTTTACCTCGGTTGGCAGAGGTTGGAGGTGGACCCACAGGTGACATCTGATGGCTGCAGTGGGTCTCCATCCCTGAAGCATCTTAGGATGCTTCTTAGATGCTTCTAAGCATCTTAGGATGCTTATTTGAAACTGTGTGACGAAGTCACTAATTGCAATGCAGGTTGCAAAATATGTTCTGACTGCTAGAAAACTAAGGGTCAAACAAGGTAATTAGAACTGGTGAATAGAATGCATCTCTTTCATTTTCAAGCTTATACCTATGCTTTAATTTTGGGAGGATGTTAGTGTAATTATATGAGAAAATAAAGTTTTATTGCAATTTTTTATTGTTATAGATTTAGTTTTTTTTACATGTAAGACCACTGTATGATAATTATAAATGTCACATTGAGCTGATTTGTATTATTATATGTATTTTGCATTGTTAAATACTTAATAATGATGGTCCATGGTGAAAAAACTAATAATAAAGTTACAAGTTATAATTACAGTTACTTAGATAGACATATTTGAGGAGAAATTGCCAAACTGAAAGAGAAGGTAGAACACTAAAGCTCCCTGACATGGGGTTTGTATCTATTGCACAAGAGAGAACCTGAACTTTCTGAAGCACATTCCTATCTCACATTAAAGCTGCTTGCTCACTTCCTTGTTCCATTCCCCAGACATTCCTCCCTCCTATCAAATATCTGCCATTAAACTTGGGAATTGGCCCAGTTTATTTTGAACATAATGAAGCAGTCACTGAGCCGTACCATTTCACATTACAAATGCAGAATCTCATGTTTGAATGATCCCATTTAAAACAAAAACAAACCCAAATCCTACTTATAGAAGAATGCCTTTTTACTGTAGCTGACACTCAATTTGACATTTATGAGTATTTATGAGATATGCTTTAAGGGTTCCTGTCTCAGGCTGTTAAATGACCAAATGTCAGATCCAAAACTTACTATTTAAACAAAAAGCTGTATGAGATATTGAAGATTACAGTACTCGATTTGTAGCACACTTTGCAGCAAGTAGCTTTGGAATGACCCGGGGGGGGGGGGGGGCTCTCTCTCCAGCTGCTTATATCACTGTCTCCCACAACAGGAGGCATTCATCATTTCTAAATGCCTCAAGTCTTAGAAACCCTTCAGCTGAGATGCTGGCCTGCTTACAAGGCAGGTTTTGGTCTGTTTGAATCTTCAGAAACAGCTACAATAATGGAGCTCAATTATCATATCTTGGGAATTTAAAAAAACCTTTTCTCTTGATTGCTGAAGGCTTTCATGGCTGGAATCACTGGGTTGTTGTAGGTTTTTCAGGCTATATGGCCATGTTCTTGAAGCATTATCTCCTGACGTTTCACCTGCATCTATGGCAAGCATAAAGTGAGCTTTTCAGGTGAAGAAACATTCTAATATGAATCTCCACCTCCGGCTACCTAAAGTGGTTGAATTTGCTATCATATAATAGGCATAGTCTCCTAAATGTACCAAAGAGAGGAAACCTATTGAAGGTAAAGGTAAAGATTTTCCCCTGACATTAAGTTCAGTCGTGTCTGACTCTTGGGGTTGGTACTGAACTCTAAGCCATTGTCCGTAGACATCTCCAAGGTCATGTGGCTGGCATGACTGCATGGAGTGCTGTTACCTTCTCACCAGAGTGGTACCTATTGATCTACTCACATTTGCATGTTTTTGCTAGGTTGGCAGAAGCTGGGGCTAACAGCGGAAGCTCACGCCATTCCCCAGATTCGAACCTGCAACTTTTTGATCAGCAAGTTCAGCAGCTCAGTAGTTAAACCCACTGTGCCAACTTATTGAAGGATGATCAGATCTATTCAGACTAATATGAAAGGGAAATGGTTCAAAAAAGCTGCTCATCATTGTAGGGGCCTCTCTTGACATCAGAATGGATTCATGTAAATGAACCCCAGAAGTATTTGTGCACATCTTTAGTTAATCCAAAAATCTGGCCATTTTTATTTGTGCCTTCAGTTACATTATGAAAATGCATCCCATGTGGATCTGCTTTGGAAAAATATTTAGAAATTACAGCTAGTACACAATATAGGAGGCAGACTGTTGTGTGTACTTTAGAGACTTTGTATCATTAGTCCCAGATCTATTTCACTCTCTGAGAGGGCAACAGTTTCTCCATATGATGGGGAAACCATCGTGAGAAGGAGTTGTGAACAGGGCAACAGATTCACCCCGTGGCTTCCTCTTTCCTCCCCAGAAGCCGGCCAAGTGAGTTGCTTGCCTGGCCTATATGATAAGGCCATAAGATATCACTGCCTCCTAGAAATGTCCATAAGTGTTGCAAGTAGACATGTATGTACAATACTGAGAGTTTCATGGATGTAGACCCACTGCAAACTCTAACACATATGAAGGATGATCAATGGATTTGATCATCCTTCAATAGAATATCTGGTTTCTTCTCTTTGGTACATTTAGCAGACTATGCCTATTACATGATAGCAAATTCAACCACTTTAGGTAGCTGGAGGTGGAGATGCATATTAGAACATGCCTTCACCTGAAAAGCTCTCTTTAATTTGTTTCTAAGAGCAAGTCAGTAAAGACACGGAATGTAACATACAACAACCTGAACAGTATTGGCCCAGGACACCTTCTATACTATTTCCTGTCCTTTGAGCCTACCTGATATCTGACATCTTCATTAAAGTCCCCATTGCAAGTGCCACCATTAAATAAAGTTAATGGATGAGTGGGCCCACAGGATAACGTTTTATCTGCATTGGCACATTTGTCAAACTCCCTCCTACGAGGTCAAGATAATTCTATTCCTATATTTGCCAGAAAATAAAAAATGCATCAGGTTGCTTTTAAAATTGTTTTTGATCCTTTTAAACATTAAATGGTATTATCTTTTACTGGCTTTGAAGTAATTGGAGATACAACTTACACTATATCTATCTATATATATTTTTTAGATAATATTGAAATATGTCACTATAATGTATGCCTACAATAGACAAGTATTATCTGTTCAAATATGTTATTATTTTTCTTTCTCAATAAAAAAAAGAAAAAAAATACTATATCTATATTAACACACATGCACACACATTATAATTTTTTCTGCTATTAAGCATCACAAAAACATCTGAAAATTTGGGGGAAAGAGCAAGCAGGATTAGATGGACCTTTGGTCTGCTCTAGCAAAGCTTGTCTTATGTTCTTAATATAGTAAGAACACATTTTATAAATATTTCATAAGCCTCCAAAGCATGGCTGGTAACATCTGCTAGTATACAGTATTATTAGATTGAATATATTATCGGGTTACCGTCATATAAGATTTTTAGACCTTTTCATTTAAAAAAAAAAAAAAGCAGAACATTACAATTGGGGAAAACTCATCTTACCATGAAGACAAACCTTCCTTAAGCATTGGCTCTTAAGTTTTAATGATCTGAAAATTTAGAAGGCAAGTATGGGGAATCATATGGTCCTCTAGATATTATTAGACACAGGGTCTCCATCTACACTGGCATATAATGCAGTCTAGGAATCACATTAGCCTGTTGCATCCATATGATGCACACAGGTTAATGCAATTAAACTCCAAGTAGGCCTATTAATTCATCTAGACGCCAGGTTAAAAAGAAACACAAAGATGGTCCCGGATCCTATGACAAGATTGAGAAATTTTCTGGTGTTGGGACCATGGCGGCCCATTCCACACAGCTAAATAAAATCCCACAATATCTGATTTGAACTGGGATATAGGGCAGTGTAAACTCAGATAACCCAGTTCAAAGCAGATATTGCGGGTTATTCTGCCTTGATATTATGAGTTATAAGGCTGTGTGAATGGGCCTGGAGACTTCCCCCAAGTCTTCAGAGTAGTTGAAGACACAGTGATTTATTCCTTAAGCATTGATTCTTCACTACAGTAAGATTTATTGATCTGAAAACTTATAAAGCAAGTCTGGGGAATCATGTGGTCCTCCTGATGATGTTAGACTCAGGGCCCTTCCACACAGCCATATAACCCAGAATATCAAGGCAGAAAACTTTGCAATATCTGTTTTGAACTGGGTTATCTAAGTCCACACTGCCATATATTCCAAAGTCGATAATGTGGGATTTTATTCAGCTGTGTGGAAGGGCCTCAGTGTGGTTCCAGACAGGCTGTTATCCTAGGAGTATCTGCATTTAAAAACATGGATGTTCCTGGGGGCCCATCTACACACACCCCAGAAAACGCATGCTTTCTGGGGTGGGTGTCAAGATGTTCTCCTGGAAGTTCCCAGGACAACACCTGGAGACTCTAACCTCCTCCCCAAAAGCCCCAAAACACCCTTTAAAAAACAAAAGTACTTACCCAGCCTCCATTAGAGAGCTGCCGAAGCTCTCCTGGCACATAGAAATGACATGCCAGGAGAAAAGGCAGGAGTGGTTTTCCYCCCCCCCCCCCCCCTTCCTCCTGGCGCATCATTTCTACACAACAAAAGAGCTCTGACAGCCGGGTAAGTACTTTTGTTTTTAAAGGACTTTTGGGGGTCTTCTGGAGAGGGTGTTTGGTATTCTCACAGTTTTCCAGGCTAATTTAGCCTGGAAAACTGTGGGAATACTGTCTGGACTGCAGTCCAGACACCAGAAGTAGTAGGTTTGTCCTGTGCCTTCTAAGAAGGCACAGAATAAACCCACTATCAAATGAATTCGCCACAAACCAGGGTTTGTCAAATGTTTTCATTGGTGCCAAAACAGGAAAGGGTTTGCTTCCCAATTTCATGAATTTCATCCCAGTAATGCTTCTCGTCATGAACACAAACCAACAATTCACTAAAGAAGACAAAAATATATACCTGCACATTATGTATCTAATTTGAGATTTGTTTTTTTCTTCTCAAAGAGCCAGTCTGAGTGGATGTCATTTGAAGGTTTTTTACTGGTTGTCATTTGAAGGTTTTTTACTGGTTTCTCAGTACATACTGAGAAACCATATGACTTCGTTATTACAATAGTTTGGGTCCACACAAGATAAATACTATGCATTTAAGAAGAAAAATAAAATTTTGTTTGAGGAGTGGAATTCATTGTACTTTTTATACAATAATTGTTATAACAGTATAGGAGAAAGTGATGGATACAAAAGGGATTTTTCAAAAGAAAACTAAGTGAAGGGCAAAGTCTAATAACGTTCCTTGTGTGATCATTGTCACTTATGGAAATTGATTGCTTGGGTAAATGAAGTCTGTCATCTTTTAAAACAAATCCAGTTAATGATTAACTATTTTCCCATCTCAGGGATGCAGGATCAGTTACATAAAGGAATAACCTCAGAGTGCTTATAAGCAGGTAAGTATCCACATTGAGCCACTGCCGCATGAAATATCTGAATGCAATATTCATATGCTCTCCATGCTCTGTGTACTTATCCCAAAGTCAGATAATGCCAAGAATCACTCCCCCACATGTTAATATTTTTGCTTTTTGTGGTGGCTGTTCCCATAAGAGGCCAAGCTGCCCCCTCCCTTGCTCTTTCTGCTGGCAGGAAAAGATGCTTTTATATAAAGAGCCATTTGGTGGTAGCAGATAGCAGATCTATAGTATTTTGATTTTAGCATGCTTTAAATATCTTTCAATGTTTTAATGTCTTTTTCAGTCATCGTTTAATATTATGAGTTTGTTAATTGTATTGTGTTTTTAAGATGTTGCACACCACTGTGGGTCCCATAGTGGGAGAAAGGCAGGATGTAAATGAAATTAAATAAGAGAAATATATAAAATATATAAGGCATGAAAAAATCCAGTAATGAAACCATTACAGTGTATTGCCAATATTTATCCTTCAATTAGATTAGGCAAGGACAGGCATTGTTCTTAAACACAATAATATTTCTGCTCTATGGCTTTTATGGCTGAAAATAAAATAACTAGTTAGAAGTAACAGGTTAAACCCAACTAAAACAGAACTAGTGAACCAATGATCCAATAGTAAGTCAACTCAATTTAATCTGATTGGGTCCACTCTAGTTAGGACTAACAATAAAATTCAGACTACAATAGCTTAAAGTGATATAGATATTGATATAGATATCAAAAGCAACTTACCACTGTTACAGCATCATTCAAGAGTGACTCCCCAAAAACTAGGATGTACAATTGCTCATTGACATGAATGTTTTCAAAAACAGCCAACACTGCTACAGGATCCACAGCTGAAATCAAGCTGCCAAAGAGGAGGCTTTGCAGCAGGGTGATGTCAGTCAGACCAAAGGTATCAACCTGGCAAATGGCAAAGAGTGAAATGCCAATTCCAAAGGAATTCCAGAGAGTTCCCACAACTGCATACCAGAAAATAGTACCAAAGTTCTCAAAGAAGAGGCGTGTTGGCATAAAATAGCCAGCATCAAGGACAATTGGAGGAAGAAGATACAAGAAGAAGACATCACTTTTCATCACAGGGGGAGATGTTTCTTGTACTCCAAACATAATCCCTCCTAGAATTAATCCAACCAGAATAAGGAGGCAGCTCTCAGGCACTACATGGGGCAACTTGTGATAGAGATGAAAACCTTCAAGAAGGAAAGGCCAGAAAGAAAGAGAGATGGTTAGTTTGTGCACATATAAACTAATATTCTGCTATTCTCTGTGAAATTGTGTATTTATATACTTATCTTTTTTCCCAAGTTTCCTGCTACATTCCAGTTATTTGAGGCACCAATATATAAATAATCAAACAATAGTCACAAAGTAACAAAAAAATCCAGATACACTCAAATATGCAGAAGTGAACAAGGTTGTGCCAACTAAACAAAAAGGGTTATAAAATTAAAATGGTCTGTAAAATAAGTCAGAGGCGGGAAATCACGGCTTTCCAGAAATCTGCAACTTCTACCAGTCCTAACCTGCATAGCCAGTAGTGAGGGCTATTGGAAATGGTAGTCTGACATCCTGAAGGCCACAAAAATACTCTTGGCTCCTAATATAATCTGTAGCTCAGGGATGTATCATTCCCCCATTGTATAGGCACTAGGCAGTGCTATACGTTTTCATCATGAGATAATACTGGCATTGTTGTTGTTGTTCATTCATTCAGTCGTTTCCGACTCTTTGTGACTTCATGGACCAGTCCACGCCAGAGCTCCCTGTTGGTCGTCATCACCCCCAGCTCCTTCAAGGTCAATCCAGGTCAGTCACTTCAAGGATACCATCCATCCATCTTGATCAGCCCCTCTTCCTTTTTCCTTCCATTTTCCCCGGCATCATTGTCTTCTCTAAGCTTTCCTTTCTTCTCATGATGTGGCCAAAGTACTTCATCTTGGCCTCTACTATTCTTTCCTCCAATGAGCAGTCAGGCTTTATTTCTTGAAGTATGGACTGGTTGGATCTTCTCGCTGTCCAAGGCACTCTCAGAACTTTCCTTCAACACCACAGTTCAAAAGCATCTATCTTCCTTCACTCAGCCTTCCCTATGGTCCAGCTCTCACATCCATAGGTGACTATGGGGAATACCATTGCTTTAACTATGCGGATCTTTGTGATGTCTCTAATCTTCACTATTTTATCAAGATTGTTCATTGCTCTCCTCCCAAGAATTAAGCGTCTCCTGATTTCCTGGCTGCAGCCTGCGTCTGCAGTAATCTTTGCACCTAGAAATACAAAGTCTGTCATGGCCTCCACATTTTCTCCCTCTATTTCCCAGTTGTCAATCATTCTTGTTGCCATAATCTTGGGGTTTTTTTATGTTTAACTGCAACCCAGCTTTTGCGCTTTCTTCTTTCACCTTGATTAGAAGGATCCTCAGCTCCTCCTCGCTTTCAGCTATCAAAGTGGTGTCATCTGCATAGATGTATCTAGCAGTGCTTCATATGCCTGTTTATGTTGACTGATTGGTGACCTCTAAATGAAAAACATTTGGTTATCCAGGTGTTGTAGGACTGCAACTCCCAACAAGCCTCTCCAAGATAGCCACAAGTTCATGATATGGGGTAATGAGGTTACATTTATGGAACCTTACTCTTATTTCCTGTGCCCCCCCCCCCCCAAAAAAAAAAACCTTAGAAGCACTGGGCAATATTTAGAAATAGTGTTTGAGGGGCAAAGCAGAAAAAAATAGCAGGCAAAATCAGGTTCTTCCTTTTTCCAGAAAGATATTCTGCTAGATCCCAGCCATGTCAGCAAATAGAAAGAAACCATCACTGATGTATTTCCTTCCATTAATCCATCCAATGATAAGACACTGTGATTTTTTATTGCTCTATCAACAATATACATATCTTCTTTAACAATTATGTGGCTCCAGGCCAAGTAATGGAAGATAAAAAGGCCACCACTCCTCATTATCATGAAGGAAGAAGTATGGATTGGAGACTAATGTCCATTTGACACAGATTCTCAAATGCTAAAATCCAAACTCATTTGAGAAAACTATGAAAGCCATAATACAGGTTAAAAATCTCTGAATCCTTGTCATTTCTTGTGTTCTAATGAAACAAAGGAAGGCTGATTCACAAACATTTTAGATTCATCAGGGCTGCCTGTCTACCTGGGTGTCAAACATTCTGTATTTAATGGAGCTCATCCGCAACTAGGCAGGGATACAATGACAACCCTGCTCTGTTGGGAAGCTAAACATAACTGCGAATCCACTGCACAATGGGAAATGGATGGTCTTTAATTTCAGTTTTGTTGGGTTGCAGACTCCCTTTATTTGTATCTTACTGAGTTGAAACGGTTCATCCTGGACATTAAGTTACACTTCAAAAGATCCAGTTCATATTTAACATGTAGTGAAGCACTCAAAATATAGCTACCTACTACAGAAAGTGTTGCAATGTTTGGGTGTACATCATAATGTGAAACTTTTTATTGCATTGAGTGACTTTTCTCAAAAGCTATAATTTTATGACCGCCTCCCTAGATGCCATGGGATCATGGACATATTTTCTTATATATGAATAGAAAGCTGACAAACATAATTGTCTTGTGAATTCTTTTTTATTGCTATTTTCCTGAACTTTTATAGCTTACGGTGAATAGTATAATGCATACATTGAGTATATCACTCATTCGGTAGAGTATACTATTACTGTAAGCTGTAAAATACAGATGAATAGGTCTTTAGTACAGAAGATAGTACAATAACTGTGGGTCAAGAGAGCTGAAACTGGGAAGCAAGGGGGATGACTAACCAGTGGTCATAAACCCTTTGTGGCTGTAACTGAGGCAATCTCCCTCTACTGTTCTCGTGAAGAGAAAATCTGCTCATTTAAAGATACCTTTATGTTCAAGTTAATTATGTGAAAAATATGAAAACACATGTTTCAATGTTTTTCAAAGCATTTCTTTATTAATAAAATTTCAAATCATGCAGGGAATACTAATGCAGGATTCACTGGAAACCAATCAAGAAAAATTGATCATAATTTTGCCTAATCTCTCTTCAAAACCATTAGACCAATGAAGGAAATGGAACAGTTTAAGCACTGGTAAAGAAGTATTTCTTTTTGCCTCTCCTGAGTTGTGGTTAACATGATACATTTTCAAGTGCAAGCACTGATAATGACAGTCACTATTACCACCACTACCACAGGATTGACCAAAAATTGAGACAGTTTTAATCTATATCAGTTCTTTTGATCCATGTCAGCTGTTTTGATCAGCATCATTTCTGATCTATATTGTCATCTCGACCAGGAACAGGACTTTTTGCAAAGTGAACAGAAGTTAATTGCTCTTGCAAGACCAATCGACTTCAAAGTATTGGCTTCTGCAATAATGACAGGCTAATATATAATCTGTGATAAAATAAATTCCCCTGCCCATCCACTTTTGAGAGGAAGGAAACAGAGAAATTTGAGAGTAAATAATAACATTGTCCTGCCTAATAAAAAAAATCCTCATATGTGGAGCCTGTGATTCCTGCCTCAATTATACTACTGGGCCAAATCAGTACAGTCTCAATTGTTTCACTAATGTATTGGTTTGCAGTGTCCAAAGTGTATAATAAAAGGGTAAAGTGATACAAAAATTGCACTCTAGGAGTGACCACACATATCCTCACAATAGTAGAAATAACCAACTCTACCATATAAACAGGATCCATGCATGCAGTTATCTCAGAGTAAACTACACTGAGTTCTGAGTAGACCTATGTAAAACTACAATATTAGGTACTGGAAAACGTCATTCGAGAGCCTGTATCTTCCACATCCAGTAATCTAGTCCCTTTATTAAAGCAAAAACAAAAAAAACCCCTCACAATACTCTTGATTGTGGCTGCCATTGGTGAATCAACTGCTATAGTTTCATATAAGCAAGAATATCCTTGATTACTTTATTTAAAACTAATATTGGAGAATTTGCTTTTTCTGCTGGGCATGCAGCCACATCCATCATGTTTTTACTTAATACTAGCTTAGGTACCTGGTGATGCCTGGGTTAGATCTTTTATCAAGATAAACATAAAAAGTATTCATTGTTGGCTTTTGGATTTATTGAATGGACCCATTAGAAAATGCATAATAATATGGCTAAACCCCAATCATAATCTGTCATTGTTCCAACTCTACTCATATTCAAAGTTGGGCATGTTGGGTCTGTGTGCAAAGTTTGGTCCAGATTCATCATTGTTTGGATTTACAGCACTCTTTGAATGAGAGTGAACAATAACGCCCTAAATTCAAAGTCAGTTTCCACCAAACCCCATGAGTATTGAAAGTTGGCCATGATGGGTACGAGTGCCAAGTTAGGTCCAGATTCGTCATTGTTTGGGTTCATAGTGCTCTCTGGGTGTAGGTGAACTACAACCCCCCAAATTCAATGTCCAGTTTTTGTTGGTCACATTGGGTCTGTATGCCATCTTTGGTCCAGATGCATCATTGGTGGGGTTCACAGTACTCCCTATATGCAGGATGAACTACAAATCCCGTCATGTTGGGTTATCTTCCTCACCACTATTCAAAGTTGGGCATGTCGAGTATGCGTGCCAAGTTTAGTCCAGATCCATTGTGGGTTGGTTTCAGAATACCCTCTGGATTTATTTATTTATTTTATTTATCATGTCATCAGCAGCCAGACATTTATATTACATTTTTAACAAAAACAAACAAACAGACAAAAACCAGAATTTGCAAGCTTGGTAGTTGATTAAATGTCCTTTGACCAGTAGCTGGCCATTTGGAGTGCTTCTGGTGTTGCCGCAAGGAGGTCCTCCATTGTGCATGTGGTAGGGCTCAGGTTGCATTTCAGCAGGTGGTCTGTAGTTTGCTCTTCTCCACACTTGCATGTCATGGATTCCACTTTGTGGCCCCATTTCTTGAGGTTGGCTCTGCATCTCGTGGTGCCAGAGCGCAGTCTGTTCAGTGCCTTCCAAGTTGCCCAGTCTTCAGTGTGCCCAGGGGGGAGTCTCTCATTTGGTATCAACCATTGATTGAGGGGGACATGAGAGAAGCCTCCTCACAGGATTGCAAGACATCCGGGCGTCCCCTGGGCAACGTCTTCGTAGACGGCTGATTCTCTCGCTCCAGAAGCGACCAGAAGCGACTCTCTGGATGTGAGTGAACTATAAGTCCAAATTCTATATTCAATCCCCACCAGATCCCTCCAGTATGTTGGCTCTTATGTGCCAAGTTTGGTCCTGATCTGTCATCAGTGGAAAGTTGGAGCAGTCTTGGAAATACGTTGCCTACAAACATCCATACAAACAATGCCTTTTATATTAGATAGATAGATATATTAGATAGATAGATAGATAGATAGATAGATAGATAGATAGATAGATAGATAGATAGATAGAGATAGGGATTAATTGTTCTGAAAGTGTAATATGATTTCCCTCACTATAAAAACAAAATAATAGAAAATGTAAAACTAATAAGCAACTATTAGAAAATAAATCAACAAAATGATCCAAGATAATTGCTGTGGAGTGAAGAGTGTGGGTGTAGAAAACCTCAGGTTAATTAAAAGACAAAGAGCACAATATTACATATTCCACATAGAATCATAGAATCAAAGAGTTGGAAGAGACCTCATGGGCCATAACAGGAATATTTCCTTTAGGGAGAGAATTTCAAAACTCTGTGACACCACAAAAAAGGGTCCACAACTTGTCAGTTTTTCTAAACTTTATTGGCATAAAAACCAGAAAATACACATAAACAGTATCATCTAAAATAATTTGGTACCTGTTTGTACACATATACATATAGTAACAGAAAACTAGAATAAGTATCACATATTTCATCAGATCATCCCATGGATTAAATCAGATTATCTCCAAATAAGTGCTTTTTGAGATCCAGCATAGTGTAATGGTTTGAGTGTTGAACTAAGGAGGCTGAAGCCTGTAGTAAATTTGCTTTGGTAACAAAATGGGAAGAAGGTACCCCTCCCTGCAGAGAAGGAGCAACATGTCAACAGCAGGGTGGAAATGCTCCAAAAATTGTGTGTTCTGCAATAGATAAGCTAGTCTTGAAGGTAGGGCTTGCTGAACATGGGCTGAGGCTTGGGCTGGGACATGAGTGGCAACAGATATTTGGCTGAAATTTGCCCCTGAAAACATGTGCAGTATCTCAGAATCATAGAATCAAAGAGTTGGAAGAGACCTCATGGGCCATCCAGTCCAACCCCCTGCCAAGAAGCAGGAATATTGCATTCAAATCACCCCTGACAAATGGCCATCCAGCCTCTGCTTCAAAGCTTCCAAAGAAGGAGCCTCCACCACACTCCGGGGCAGAGAGTTCCACTGCTGAACGGCTCTCACAGTCAGGAAGTTCTTCCTCATGTTCAGATGGAATCTCCTCTCTTGTAGTTTGAAGCCATTGTTCCGTCCTAGTCTCCAAGGAAGCAGAAAACAAGCTTGCTCCCTCCTCCCTGTGGCTTCCTCTCACATATTTATACATGGCTATCATATCTCCTCTCAGCCTTCTCTTCTTCAGGCTAAACATGCCCAGTTCCCTCAGCCGCTCCTCATAGGGCTTGTTCTCCAGACCCTTGATCATTTTAGTCGCCCTCCTCTGGACACATTCCAGCTTGTCAATATCTCTCTTGAATTGTGGTGCCCAGAATTGGACACAATATTCCAGATGTGGTCTAACCAAAGCGGAATACTATCAAGGACTGGCTTCCGGTCCCGCCACCCCGCCCCACGAACCGCCAGCGCGACCCGTAGAGACCCCGGCCCTCTTCGCTCTTCTCACGCGATCAGCCTCACATGAACCGCACCCTTCGCTTCGCGCCCCAGCAGAGAATGCAGAGCATCCCTCTCCCCACCCCCTGCCGGCCCCACCGCTCTCCCTTCCACCGACATTCATGCATGAGGTCTTCGCTCCCGCCGCCTTCCCCCGAAACACCGGTCTCTCTCCGTCGCGCCGGTATATCTATGAGCGCATTTCTTCTCGCCCTCCCCCTTCCCCCCCTTCTCCGCACTCCCGCGCAACACCTTACACATCCATGCGCTCGACCTTACTCCCCGTGCTTTACGGATTGCGACCATGACGCAACTCTCCCCCCCTTGGATTCCGTCTCTCTCTTCATCCGGTGCCTCCTTCCCACCCGGTTCGGAGGGGAGCCCCCTGGCCGCAGCCCTTATTGCACCCCAAGCCATGAATGCCAATCGTCGCATCTCCCTCCTGCCTGTGCTTCCCAGTTTGTCACCTTCCCGTGCTCCTCTCCTTGAGGCTCCCCATTGATGAGCTATACCACAAACTGGAGCTGGTTATGTGCTAGTTTCACTACCTTTGGGCCGCGGGCGCGATACACCTATATCTCGTTTCCGCTACGACAGCCTCCCTCCCCCTTCTGCTGGCGGCCAAGGAGGTCAACGCTTCCCCCCGGTATGGTTATAAACATTCGGGCATCCTACATCGACGGCTCCACAATAGTACGCGCTCGCGCAAATTGTCCGGGCTGAGAGAAGCCTCCCACAGGATGGTAAAACATCCGGGCATCCCCTGAGCAATGTCCTTGCAGATGGCCAATTCTCTCACAAAAGAAGTAACTTGCAGTTTCTCAAATTGCTCATGACATGAAAAAAAAATCCAATAGTTCAAATACCCACACTGACCACCACTGAACATAGCTATAGTGATGCTAAAGGAAGAAAAAGTGGTGAAGACTAATGAAGTGAAAAAAGATGTTGTAATAAGCTTCTTTCTCAGAGGCAAAGGGCGGGGGGGGGGGGTTGCACTGTAGGACTAATGCAGTTTGAATATGGGAATTGTAGTTTTACAAGTTCTCCAGCCTTTTCTGCCAAATACTACTGGTGCTTCACCAAAATACACATCCCATGATTTTATAGCATTGAGGCACAGTCATTTAAAGTGGTGTCAAACTCCATTACAGATCCATCCTTTGTTAACAGAAGTATGTCTATATTAAAAAATGAAGTGTCTGAGATACAGCATATATGTCTCCACGCTCTCCCCATCACAACTTCTCATTTTACAGTTGTTTTGTTTTCTAAGTGGACAAAAGATTTTTTTAAAACCGCCTAAAAGGCATCAGGTTGCACATCAGAAAGATATTATTATGCAAGAATCCTCCAACGCCCGATCATTATCTGGAGATGTTCCTCTGGTCACAAAAGCAAGAGATCAGTGCTTCTTTGGTGCTTCCTTTGTGATAGGAATCATCCGCCCCGGTTGTTTTATGAGAAACAAATTGTCAGAGAAATTTTTATCAGCCAAACTGGTGAAAGGTTTAGATTGGAATAGCCTGGGATTTTTCTTCTGATTTGTAAGTTTCTGAAGGGAAGCTCCAGGAATCTGACCATTCCGGATACTCGCTAGGAAAACAAGGATGTTCCAGGGCTCAGAAATACAACTTGATACAGGCAAGAGGGGGAAGAAGGAACTCCTGACATTCCAGGTGTGAAGGACTACAACACCCATAACACTATGTAACAAAAATTGAAAACAATTCTGTTCCTGGTCTGAAAGTGTTATTTCTTGTTTAACTGTACAGCACTTGCTTTGAACGTCATTTTTGTACTCCAGAAACTTTGTTTTGTGGGCTGCCACAAACTATGTTGAATTGAGGTATTCACTGAAAACTATAGCAAAGTGTGCTGCAGGATGTCCCGCAAAAACAAAGTTTTGGTAGTGTTATAAATATTTCACATGTTTTATGATAGAAGCAATCAGGAAATGACATTGATAACCCAGGAACAAAAGTTGTGTTACATCAGTAGTTGATGGACCACCAGTGGTCCACAAAGTCAAAACAAAAATATGGTCAGCGGCCTCACCATTACTACACTGTTGCCTTGAAACCACATGGCAATTGGAGCGACGGGTCTCACAAAACCCTCTTTATAGTGCCAAAGCAGAGCCCCTGGTGGTGCAGTGGGTTAAACCTCTGTGCCGGCAGGACTGAAGACTGACAGGTTGCAGGTTTGAATCCGGGGAGAGGCAGATGAGCTCCCTCTACCAGCTCCAGCTCCTCATGCGGGGACATGAGAGAAGCCTCCCACAAGGATGATAAAACCTCAAAATCATCCGGGCGTCCCCTGGGCAACATCCTTGCGGATGGCCAATTCTCTCACACCAGAAGCGACTTGCGGTTTCTCAAGTCTCTCCTGACACAACAAAAAAAAATGGGAATGTCAGGAGGGGACAGGCTGACTACCCACAAAAGGTTACTACTACCACATCAGATATTAAATATGGTTTTCTGTGGGCAAGCAGATGGTGACTACTGGATGGTATAAGTTCTGTATCAGAAACTAGAGCTGATGTGGTCTATCCAATGCAATTTTCTAAATCAGCACCCCAAATAACCAAACTGAATCTAACGTTGATGAAAAACTGTTTTGTAACCCTTTTGGTACTAATGTTGGAGAGTGGTCCCTGGTCAAAAAAAAAAAAAAAAAGGTTGGGAACCACTGTGTTACATCGCAGGGAAAACTCACAGCAACCCATAGTGTAATCCTTCAGCAATGGCTGTGCTGGCTGGACCAGATGAGAAAGGATGCCCAAACTCTGTGGAGCGCCAAAGCCGGGCATCTCCCTGCCTGCGGCGCTCACCTGTGCCCTTCCCCCGCCCCAGGACGACCCCTCCCTGCCTGCCTGCCTGCCTGCCTGCCCTCTCCTTACCGATCTTGGCCAAAGAAGCCAGCAGGATCCAGAGGGTGATCTCGAAAGGCACCTGGACGTGGGGGTAATCCAGGGTGAAGACCTGGAGCCGGGTCTCCTCGACGGGGGTGGCGCTGGGCGCCGGCGGGGTCTCTGCGGGGCCGACGCTGGCGCCCATCCTGGCCTCGGGCGGCAGGCTGTTCCCCGAGAGAGCGGCCACGGCGCAGGGCTGCAGGAGCCCGGCTAGCAGGAGCGCCCAGGGACCCATCGCCCCCTCGCTGCCTCTCCCTCTCCTCCTCCTCCTCCTCCTCAAAGCGCGGCCGGGCTGTGCTCCAGCATGGTCGGGGCCGGCGCCGGGGTGGCACTGCTGGCCGGCAGAGGGAGACAGGCGTCACGCAGAGGAGGAGGAGGAGGAGGAAGAGGGCAGGGCCCGGCACCTGCTGCGCTCCTCCTCCTCTTCCTCCTCCCAACTGGGGCTTCTCCTCAAAGCTCGTGCCGCTACCTCTCGCCCCAGGGCGCCCAAGCACGCCTCCCCCCGCCAGAACAATACAGAACAGGAGTTATTCCTCTAAAGCTGATTAATAAGCAAGCCCCGCCCCGCCGCAGCCGAAGCCCGGACAGGTGCTGCCTCACGCGCCTCGGGCTCCGCTGAAGGTCAGCACGCGGCAGGAGCGCAGAGGGGGGCGCGCGCTCGGGAAAGCCACCTGCCCTAGCAGTCGCAGGCAGGACCTACACTCCTCTAGAATACAGCTTGGAGCTGCATGGTTGGTCAGTGTAGACCAGGCATGGGCAAACTTCGGCCCTCCAGGTGTTTTGGACTTCAACTCCCACAATTCCTAACAGCCTCAGGCCCCTTCCTTTCCCCTTTTCCCTTAATCCGCTGAGGGGGGAAAGGAAAGGGCCAGAGGCTTTTAGGGATTGTGGGAATTGAAATCCAAAACACCTGGAGGACCCAACTTTGCCCATGCCTGGTATAGACTCATACCATTAAGTTGAATTGCACATAACTGGATTATAAGAGTCTACACTGACCACGTAATGCCTCAGGCTGGATCTTTTGCCATACTTCCTAGATTTGGAGCATGGCAAAAGTTCAACCTTGAGGTTACTAGTGCATGCACTATGTCTGTGCATGCATTAGTAACCTCAAGGTTAAACTTGTGCCATGTTCAGAAACTCCAGCTGGTTCAAAATACAGCAGCCAGTTTGGTTACAGCAGTGGTTCCCAACCAGTGGTCCACAAGAATGAAAATGTGGTCCATGGCCTCATCATTAATACACTGCTGCCTCAAAACCACATGAGAGTGACTGGTCTCGGGAAACTCTCTTATAGTGCCGAAGCAACAGGGCTGTCAGGAGAGGAGAGGCTGACTACCCACAAAAGATTACTACTACCACATCAGCTCTTGATTATTAAATATGTTTTTCTGTGAGCGAGCAAATGGATGGCATATGTTCTGAATCAGGAACTAGAGCTGATGTGGTCTATCCAATGCAATTTTCTGAATCAGCACCCCAAATAACCAAACGAAATCTAAAGTTGACCAAAAACCGATTTGTAACCCTTTTGGTGCTAATGTTGGGGAGTGGTCCCTGGTCAAAAAAAAGGTTGGGAACCACTGGATTACAGGAACATCTAGGCCAGTGGTTCTCAACCTGGGTTCCCCAAATGTTTTTGGCCTACAACTCCCAGAAATCCCAGCCAGTTTACCAGCTGTTAGGATTTCTGGGAGTTGAAGGCCAAAAGCATCTGGGGACCCCAGGTTGAGAACCACTGATGTAGGCATTAACATATTACCCCTATCCTAAAGTCACTCCACTGGCTGCCAATTAGTTTCCAGGCAAAATACATGGTGTTGGTTTTGACCTTTATAGCTCTACATGGTTCGGGTCCAGGTTACCTACCGAATCACCAACAGTTTAGGTTGAGTACATTAACTTTCAACTATCCTGATAACTTACTATAATTGCTATAACAAGACTTGATGCCACTGAGATATTATCTGTCCTAATGTTGAAAAACTTTCCCATAGTTGGCAGGGTGAAGACAGGAACACTAAACCAATTGGGACAGTCCATGTTTTACCTGGAAAGGGAGCTTCCCGACTATAACCAATAACTAAATTTACATTTGGGGGGCAAGTGCCATAAGAGCAGGACACATGATGCACACTAAATATGTGTATCTATAAAATTAAAATACAAATTCACACTTTATTGGAAAGCATACTTGTCTCATCTGACATTGTAGACACAGTAATTTCCTATATAACACCTGAATGTTTCAACAGCAACAACTCCCTTGGGAGGAATATGTCACTGGCCAGAGAGCTCTGCATTTATATGCCTTACTCACCATGGTATAGTGTTCCTGCCCTAGCCCTGCCAGCTCTGAGATTCTGTGAATAAATAGAATTCTGCTTCCAATAATAGCCATGACCCAATGCCTTGAGTCTTCTGTTGGTGCAGAATTAGATACTACAACTACAACCTTCTCATGTCCTCAGCATAAGGAATATTGAAAAAAAAGATTGTAAAGTTTCTCAACTCTATGACAGCTAACGTTCCTGTTATGACATTCCATTTTGATTTTTCAAAATCATGTATAGGAATGTAGTGGGAAAATTGCCATGAAAATTAATTTATGGAAAGCTATCCTAAGTCTAATATATAGCCAACTTTACACATTTGAAATGCAAACCTAAATCTAATATGCAAAGAAGCAGCACATGGTTTTAGTAGAACATTAATCCATGCCATGCCTAGTGGCAAATAATGTAATAGAATCTCATGTTCTGACTGAAACTGTGCCCTACAAATGAATGAACTGGAGGTTTTTATAGAGAGAATGTACAAAGGGAGTTTGCTAATAGAAGCCATGACTCAGTTTCTGTCTGCAAATTTGGTATAGTAATATTAACTCTTCAGGATTGTTGAAAAGTAATGGGTGTGAATGGGTAATAATGGCCAGCATTGTTTTAGTGACATTTCAAAGTGTAGATGCAAAATGTTTACATCTGCTGACACTTTCATAGGGCACCAGGAGATCGCAATGGATGACATCATCAGTCTTCATCTGTCTCTGAGAACATAGCTGGTCACTTCTCTGATCTGAACAACAACTCTCCACCAGCCACTCAATAACCTTGGAGGCTGCCATGATTAAACAGTATCTTGAAAGGAAATTGAGAAGAAAGATGTGACATAGGGCACATCTACACTGTTCATTTAGCATGAAGGGCCAGTGAATTAGCTCAGTAGTGGCTAACCGACACACTAGGCAAATCCAGGTTAATGTAAGCCATGGCTGCTTAATATGGCCTTGAATTCCATTAATCAAAGTCGTGGATTGCTATGAATTCTTCCATGGAATCAAGAACAAATCACAACTTTGTGCCAATGTAAGCAGTTGGACCAGTTTCAAGATCCCATGGCCTTCCTATGTTCTCTGTATGATAGTGTGATCGGAAACAGTCACCAAATTTCCTTTGTCCTAGGTAGCAAGATGGACGGTCCCATCCCTTCCTAGACACTTGTGATGAAGTAAACAGAAAGTGCCGGTGACCTTGCAAATATTACCTTTATTTACTGTAACACATAGAATTCCTAAGCTGTCTGGGGCATTGTAGGAAAAGTAGTCCCAAAAGTAATGTATCCAATCTGTCTTCTGAGCATGTTGATGTTAGTGTGCCTTCAAGTAGTTTCTTACCTATGCTGACCCTAAGGCAACACTATCACAGGATTTTCTACACCATCCAATGTTTCAATGGGTGAGCAAAAATGTGAACCTTAGTTTTCAGAGCAGTAGTGTACTACACCATACTGACTCTCATGCTTTGAACATATGCATCAGAAGTTTTAAAACAGTTTCCACAGGCAACCCCTTGTAGAATGTGTTATAGTTCAAATGGGGTATAATCAAGATGTGTGTCACCACAAACACACTAATATGGAAATGGACTGTACATGTGCTTAAAGCATATTAATGTTATCGCGATATTGCATCCTATTTGGACTACTGTAACACATCTTATATGATGCTGCCTTTGCAAACAGTTTGCAAACTTTTATTGTAGCAAGAGTGTTGAGATCTGATACAAGGACTCTTTTGGCCCCCCTATGTTGAAACAGCTTCACTGGTTTTTGGTTCATTTCTAGCACAATTCAAAATGCTAGCTATGATCTTTAAAACTCTATGCCGCTTAGAGCCAGACTATTTAAAGGCTCTTTTATTACTTGAATATAAATATCTGAAAGTTCTCTTTCTCTAAGATCCTGAGCACATCTCCTCCAATTCTGTTTCTGCATGAGTCTTTCTCATTCCCATTCCAGCCAGGTTGGCCTCTATTATTTTGACTCTGTGTACCATGTCAGTTCCCATCCCTGGTCCCTAATTTAATGCACTCTATATTGGCTGTCAATGAATACCAGGTGCTGAATACCTATGAAATTCATGGAGTCACCACAAGTCAATAGATAATTTGAAGGCACATACACAGATCTGCTCATGTCTTACTCATTAGATAACATGAACCATTGTTCCTCTTTAGCAAACCCTTTCCTAATTGGTGTCATCTTTACCTCCTTGTCCCAATCATCCAGTACTTCCCCATTCACACACTTCATTAGTTCCTGACTAGGCCTGTTTGATCAAGAAAAAAATTGTTTCTAAAATCGATTTGTAATTGGGGTGTTTTTTTGTTTCGATATTTAAAATAATTACAAAACTTTCCAAAAAAAGTTTCGGTATTTACGAAATTTCGTAAATATTAACAAAACATTTTGTAAAGATGGGGCCTTTTTTTTTCAATATTTTTTAAATATTTTTTAAATTTAATTATTAAATAATTTAGTAGAATAGGGAGGAGAAATTAAGGGAAGGCAGGCACTCACTCTGGCGGGCCCTCTCGCTCGCCGCTCGCCCTCTCGCTCGCCCTCTCGCTCGCCCTCTCGCTCGCCGCTCGCCCTCTCACTCGCCCTCTCGCTCGCCGCTCGCCCTCTCGCTCGCCCTCTCGCTCGCCGCTCGCCCTCTCACTCGCCCTCTCGCTCGCCCTCTCGCTCGCCCTCTCGCTCGCCCGCTCGCCGCTCGCCCTCTCGCTCACCCTCTCGCTCGCTTGCTCAGCCGGCGCGGAGAGAGGAGAGCTCCCAGCAAGCCAGGCGGCCATCTTACGTATTTCCGAAATGGACGGAAATACAAAAATTTTTGGCGCCTGCCGTTTCGATATTTAAAAACCCTTCCAGGTTTGAAAATATGTTTTGTTATTGTTTCGTATATGCAAAAAT